TCAGCTGTCACATCCGTGGGTGGCTATTTATTTATTTATTTCTTGTTATATCTCAAGATTGAACATTTTAAAAAATATAGTTTTGATTCTCTTTCATTTATGATAAATAAAACAACAAACTGGACAATCAAACAGATAATTATTTTTAAAATTTGACATATTTGACACTAAGACAGGCGTCTCACGTCATGATACTGGAACGGTACAAATCTAGTGCGTGGCGCCCCCGAGGTGCTCTAGAGCGCGCCAATGTGCATACTGGAAAGCGGCTCAGGGTGATTTCGAACACACTCAAGGGCATGTTCCTACAGCTTTCAGTATGCACATTGGCGCGCTCTGGCGCGTTCTAGAGCACCTCGGGGGCGCCACGCGCTAGAATTGTAACGTTCCAGTATCATGGCGTGAGACGCCTGTCTTATAGCGTTTTCTGTTGGTAAAACTCGTGCTGTCCGAGTTCTGCACTCAACACTGAATCAGTTCACGTTTAGTGCAATCCCAAAAGAATATGAATTTGGCACGTTTTGTCATTCTTTTCAAATTTATTATTTAACGATCCCTGATCCCTAACCTAACCTAAAGATATTTTCAATGGAATAAAAATTAAAAACTTTTGTGTGTATGAAAAAGTTGAAAACGGAAGTTTTTCCTCTATGTAAAGTACATAATGATGCTGTCTCCCGAGATGTGCAGAAATAATTCCAATGATACCTGCGTTGAAATTAATTTTTATGTCAATTTCAATAATAAAATTTTGAATTTTTGGTATCTCATTATCCCTGGCAAACATTCAGGCCTATGATGTATCCTGTCCTGTTATTTCAACGTCTGTGTTAAGGCTCAACATCTATTTCTGTCTCTATTTTGAAGTTGCTGTTAAAATAACAGAAAATGATACATCCTAGGCCTGCGATTGTAGATAATAATAATAGGTCTGTTTCTGCAGAAATCACAAACCAGTCAGAGTAAATTTCATTGGTTGAAAACAGTCAGAAACAGTCAGAAAACTAGTTTCAACCGATGAAATTCACTCTGACTGGTTTGTGATTTCTGCAGAAACAGACCTAATAATTCTTCCTCTTCATCGCTGTCGCTCGACGAAGATAAAAAATATAGAATTTTATCAATATCGATATCCATAATTTTTTGGTTTTGTTTATACACAGACTTTTCGGCACTTTACGCCATCTTTGTTGTGCCCTGACATTGGCACGAGCTCTCTGACCTCGTGCTGGAAAAGTTGCACGAGGGCAATAATTGATTGCCCTGGTTTTCCAATAGAACATAAAAACCCGCTCGGAAACTGCCATCAGAACATAATTTTTGCATGAGTGCAGCACGAGTTTTACCAACAGAAAACGCTATTAGTGTCAATATGTCAATATGTCAAATTTTAAAAATAATTATCTGTTTGTTGGTGCAGTTTGTTTTTTATTTATTAAAAATTGAAGAAAATCAAAACTATATTTTGGAAACGTTCGATCCCGAGATACATAACAAGAAACAAATAAATAAATTACAGTGACTCTATTACGACAGTGGCGACAATTGCTGTCTTATTTTTGATTGGTTCTAAAATCCCATATATTTATATTGTAAACACCGCCATCTTGTTCCCAACCTCTTGTTACTTTTGAATAGGAATATTTGGGATTTAGGTGAACATCCATCATAAATCATGGAAAACAACGTATTTGATGGACCTAATAATGGTCATCAAATACGTCGATATCAATTTTTTATGATAGATGTCCATTTAAATCCTATATATTAATATTTAAAAGTAACAAGAGGTTGGGAACAAGATGGCGGCGGGACCTCTATTGTCGCCACTGTATGTAAAGGTTTATTTAGCCACTGTAAAATAAATAACCACCCACAGATGTGACAACTGACAGGTTGACGGGTACGTACAGCTCGGGAGCTCAACGCCCCGAGTAGCTCCGGGCTACAGTGACTCTATTACCACAGTGGCGACAATTGCTGTCTTATTTTTGATTGGTTCTAAAATCCCATATATTTATATTGTAAACGCCGCCATCTTGTTCCCAGCCTCTTGTTACTTTTAAATATGAATATATGGGATTTAGGTGAACATTCATCATAAATCATGAAAATCAACGTATTTGATGGACCTAATAATGGTCATCAAATACGTCGATTTCAATTTTTTATGATAGATTTATTTATTTATTTATTTATTTATTTATTTATTTGATCATACATACAAGTTTTGATTCACAATAAGTTGTAAGGATTTACTCTTAATTAAATTCATATTAAACAAGATTTATTTTGTAGCACCTAGATGTTATAAACATCTGTATGTGCTGTAAATGTAGGTACCCAATATTTTTAATTTAATGTTAGGGATATGTTATACAATTAAAGAGAATCAAAAAATCGAAAAAAATAAAAAAAATATCACAAATACTTAGACGGTCGGCGAACACAAACAGTTCGCAACCTCTTTTCCCCTATTTAAGAAGAAGAATGACAAAGAAAAAAGAAAGTAACAAAATGAATAATCGACAAAAACCCCGTTATCACCCACCTAACTCCAATGCCAAATCAAACCTAATTTAACTTAATCCTAAATTAAACCTATACCCAAATTAGGCCTCAATCAAACAACCTTTCAAATTGACGGTGATTTCGTAAAACTGTCTCTTTGCTTAGAGTTCTGAAAGATTTCAAATTTCCACATTTCCTTATGGAGAAAGGCAATAAATTGTAAATTTTTGGTCCTAAATAATTTATATATTTCAGATTTAGATTGTTGTTGCTCACTGGTAGTTGTAAACTATTTTTTGCTCTGGTACGAGTGTTATGTTTATGGTCAACAAAATGCTGCAGTTCAGGGTTCTTATGCATGAAAGTGCACGCTGTCAATATATATATAGATCTTACGCTACAAATATCATCATTGAAAAGTAAATGTGATGGGTATAATCTATCTTTTTTGAATATAATTTTAAGTATGTATTTCTGTATAATGTTTAGTTTGTGTAGACTATTATTGTATAGTCCTCCCCAAACAATAATACCATACCTGATAATGGATTCGATGAAGGCTTTATACACCATCATCAAATGTTTTCTATTTAAAAATTCTCTCAATAAGTAAAATTTGTGTATAAGTTTCCGTATTCTGTTAGATAGATATTCAATTTGAGGTTGCCATTTAAGAAACTTGTCAATTATGATCCCCAAATATTTTGTAGAAGCGGTTTCCTTGATAGTCTGATCATCAACAATTATTGAATTAAATAAAGGTCGGTTTACATTATTGAGGGAGAAAGCTATATAGTTAGTTTTTAATATATTTAACGTTAATTTGTATGTTTGTAGCCAATTTCTTATAATTTTGAAACATCTTACTGATTTTTCCCTCACTGTTTCCCAGTCGTCTCCTGATACAACTACCGATGTGTCATCTGCATAAGATACCACTATTCCCTCCAAAGGTAGTTTCAACAATGAATTAATGTAAGTCAAAAAAAGTATGGGACCCAAGACTGTTCCTTGAGGTATCCCTATTTCAATTTGCTGCTCCTCACTTAATGTATTATTCAATTTCACCCTTTGCAATCTATTAGATAAGTAGCTCTTGAACAGTTTGTGCACTATCCCACGTATTCCATAATTGTAGAGGACATCAAGCAGTTTGTTATGTGGCACAGTGTCAAAAGCTTTTGCAAGATCTAAAAATATGGCCAGACATTTTTTTTTATTGTTTAGATTATTTACAACTTCTGTTACCAATTTATGCATTGCATCTGCTGTGCTAGTCTCCTCAAGAAAACCAAACTGGTTGTGGGATAAAATCTTGTTATGTTTCATAAAATCGATTAGTCTAGTTTTGAGGGATTTCTCTAAAAGTTTTGCAAAATTTGTGATCAAACTTATTGGCCTATAGTGTGTTATATTTTCCTTAGCGTTAGCTTTATGAATTGGTGTTACAATCGATGTTTTGAACTGGGTCGGGACTATTCCTTTTTCCAATATCAAATTAAGCAGGTGCAATAGTGGATCGGCTATTTCTGCATGTGTTTCTTTTATAATTTTTGCACTAATGTTATCATGTCCAGGGGAGCTGCTGTTTTTTAGACTCGCTATATTTTTAATCAATTCCTGTTGTGTTATGGGTCTTAGGTATATGGAATTGCTCACAGGTGTTTCTGCGTTACAAGGTCTTTGTGGTTGGGGGATTTCTTTTTCCATTTCTATTCCGACATTGATAAAATAATCATTGCAAAAATTGGCCATTTCCTTCTCATCAATAAATTCCTGTCCATTGTTGTCCTTTATATTTAACAGATTGCCAAAGCCTTTACTTTCATATGTTGCGTCTCTTATTACTGTATATAATTTTCTTATGTTATTTTTATTAACTTCAATTTTATGTTTATAGTAATCATTTTTTTGTTTTTTAATTAACTTGTTCAAGTTATTGCGATATTCTTTGTACTGCTTTTCCAGTCGCTCATCATAATTTTTTATTAATTTCTTTTTCATTCTATCTCGGATTTTGATTGAAGTGACAATTCCATTTGTAATCCAATCCTTAATCCTTTTATAGTTCTTCATTTTTACATATCTAGTTTCCGTTGCATCCTCTAACAATTTTCGGTAAATGTCCAAAAATAAGTTTGTAGCAGATTCCGGATCACTTTCATTTTTTACACCAGACCAATCGAAATCGCGCAATAACTGCTTGAATTTGAAAACATCCAACTTTGTTTTCAAAACTGTTTCCTGATAATTTTTTCTAATTTGAGAGTCTTTTTCCTGTCCATTTAAATCCTATATATTGATATTTAAAAGTAACAAGAGGTTGGGAACAAGATGGCCGCGACGAGACCTCTATTGTCGCCACTGTGTGTTAAGGTTTATTAAGCCACTGTACTCCGGGCGTCAGACTCCCATACTGGAAAGCGGCTCCTATGAACGCGGCCTAGTGTCTTATGTCATGAGTACGTCAATTGCCAGTTGTCAATTTTTGGATAAACAACATTCCTCGTCGGTCGTCTGCATAGATACAAATTAATTATTAAATATTTGTTGAACGTATATATTTTCTTTATCATTAAATTCAACTCTCTAAAATAATTAAATTTTTACTATAAATTTATTAATAAATTTTTTCATACGTGTTACACATAGATATATTTTGCGTTAACACCTTCTTTCCTTCTGGGTCTTTATTTTGAGAAATTGACAAAAAACAGATCAACAGCATGTCATCAAAAATACAAGATGATATACCTCTGGCAGATGATGATCCTCAAGGTAAAAACAGCAAAAAAGTTATTGCCAATAGATTTTATGTTTATTGAAAATGTCCATCCTATTTCAGTCATAATCAATGATGATCCCGAAGCAAACTCAATGTCGGAAGGCAACACCTCCAGTATGATCCATGGCAGAAGCATGGATTCAATCCAGTCCACTTTTACTAATGGTAGTTCCAGCCCTCAACACAACTCTTTAGAGCCTGACACAAGTCCTGATGAACAGGAAGAAAAAGCTCGTCTTATTTCACAAGTCTTGGAACTTCAAAACACCTTGGATGATTTATCGCAAAGGGTTGATAGTGTGAAGGAAGAAAATTTAAAGCTTCGATCTGAGAACCAAGTTTTAGGACAGTATATTGAAAATCTGATGTCTGCTAGTAGTGTCTTTCAGTCCACATCCCCTAAAGTCAAGAAGAAGTAAGTGATACCTTAGTAAAATGGAATGATAGAAATTCAGACCTGTTTTCAGTTGACTATGAGCTATGCACTATTTCAAAAATAAGATTCAAATTTGATATGTATTTATTCATTGCCTTAAACCTCATTGCCGTGCCAGTAAGTACATTATTAATATTTTTGATAAAATTTGTGGAGTTGAAAATCACAAACTTTTGGACCGAGTTTTCGACATTTTTTTCTTATTAATTTTTTTGTAAATCTTGCCAAAGTTTCTATGCCTGGTTATTCTTTGTGTCAGGTTAAGGTTTAGAATAATCAAATTTTGTTTTTGAAGTTTATAAGTGAGTAGGTATATACACGTCTGGCAGCCTTAGACTTTTTCTAGTCTATTGCATTAAAATTTGCCTGTAAGTTGTTCAATTGCCAGACCGGTATACAGAGGAGACCTAAAGTCCATCCTCCCTGCCAGCTTGTGACACACTCCGGTATTTACTTTGGACTAGTCAGTGCATCTCAAAGTGAGCAGGGGTAGAAGACTTTAGGTCCATGCTTTATAAAAAAAATTGTTTCATTGCTTTAAATGTTTTCAAACTGAAAATTATACATTAAGTTTATTTAGATTAGATTAGAAAATCTTACCAATTTGGACAAAGCCGTCACCTATATTATAATAATTTTTTCTGTGCATACAAAGACAGAAAGCAATTTTGCAGCAAGATATAATTATTTTTTTTTTTTTTTGAACCTTATATTATAATAAATAATAAAATATATCAAAATTTAATGTTTAATGTTTTTTTATCTCCAGAAAATGTTTACAATGTTTGAGTATTTAACTTATATGATTACATGATTATTTAATTATTATTTTACATTACAGTTAAATATATGCACCTAGATGCTGAAGCATCTGTATGTGCAATGTAAAAAAAAACAGAAAACCTACAGTAGGTACCCAACGAAACCAAAAACCCAAAGGCCATCAAATAAGTTGATGGAGCCTGAAATGTCATTGACTATTGAAAAATTTAATACCATTGCACCTATGAGAAGTTTCATGAGTGACCTTAAAAACGTCATAAGTACATCTGATGATTACTCTTATCAAGGATTTAAACTCTCTGATTAATTTGCTCAACTGGTTGCTGAGAAAGATGCTAAATCTATTACTGGTGAAGATTTAGTAATGGATGTTGCAACTATTTTAATGATACTTTATGTGAGAGTAGAGGACCAAACTTGTATTACATGAAAAATGAAAACACTAAAGGACGCTCAACTATAACTGGAAAAATAGAGGACAATTATAGTTTGAAATCAAGAGCTGCAGATTTATAGGCTTTTACGTTGATTGGGAAAGAATTAGAAAAGGCGGTACAAAGATTTAAAAACCTTAATTTTATTAATAAACTCATTGAGAATGCTTGATGGATGTACTTAGAATCTCATAAACTCTTTTTATGATATAGGCAACCGCCTTGTCCAAATTTCTAATCGGTTCGGATTGTTACATAGTCCATGCTCTGGATCTTTGGACGCCTAAGTTGCATCATAGTTGCAAGCACATATGCGGCACCTGGTATATGTGCAAAGCAAGCACTTCGATAATATTCCTAGAAGGTTGCAGTGCAGAAAAACCAACATTATTTTCAGCTTCTTGTGCAGGATTTGTTTGCAAAACACATTCATATTTTATAAAGTTGCTGTTCATACGAGAACCAACAGGTGCAGGATTTGTTGGCAAAAACGAATCAACTTTTTTGGAAGGTTGATGTCCAAGATTTATACGAGAACCATGAAACTCCTGCAGGATTTGTTACAGAAAACAGATTACTATATCTGTAAGGTTCCTGAGCAGGATGTGTTGTCAAAAGCAGACTCATACTTCTGGCCTCGTTTCTGGCTGTCAAGATTATTAAAGTCCATTCATAAAGTCCATAGACTTTTTCAAAAGCTTATCTGAGATTTTGGACGTTGATTGGCCAAAATTAGGGGGGCGACCAGTGCTCAATCTAAACGATTAGTTCAAGTCCCTATTGAGGCCCCAAAATCTAGCCAATCAGCGTCCAGAATCTCAGATCACGCTCTCGAAAAAGTCTATCGACTTTATGAACAGACTATACATACATTTCGTACTCCTGGACAATAAAGCATGTTTACTACTACTACTACTGGTTAGCAAGTGAAAGCCTGTGTTGAGTGTTGATAATGGTACCGATGTGTACATTGGGTTCGTGCAATGGCTTGCTCAGGGCGTCGCTCTGACTTTGCAGGTGATACTAGCAATTTTATGGGAGTGGCAAGTGTGGAAGAGCTCTAAACTAGCGGGAGACAAATTCTGACAGTCTTTGATACATTGTGTAGCAGAAGTCAACTGGTCATGAATGCCAGACAAGTTTGTATGTGCAAGAGTTTTGGGCGGCTCCTTAAATCAGAATTTAGGAATTTTGTTCTCATAGAAGCGCATCATAAGGCCATGATCTATTCCTTTATAAATATATTGCACACATGACATGCTTAATAGAGATTGGTTAATTACTAATTGTCAGCTCGTATTCATTTATCTTCATACCTTTTTTTTAATCTGTTTAATTATCAGTACCTAGTAGAAAAACAAAATTTCTTGGAGCCTTGAAAAAATGCTAGGCATCAAGTTTTGGCAAGATTATTAAAAAGTACCTACAGATTCAGGATAATGATATAGTTCTAAACCGAGTTGAAAACACTTGGCAATTAATAATTTTTTCTAAATTTTTTCCTTTATTTTCCATTTGTGGGAACTTTACAAGAAACCTTTGATTGAATTGAATTCCCGACATGCTGAGTCAATACAAAACATAACTTGGTCTTTGATAATCCAGGTCGTTATGGAGGAGTAAATGTTGAAAATTATATTGAGTTTTTCTAGTTTAATTTAATTTTTAACTCCACAAATGTTCACCTATGTAATGTGCCATTGTTATCTATTATAGTGAGTGAAAACATCCTTTTTTTTAGATTATAATGGGTCTTGAAAAGGGTGCTTTGATTACGAAAACGTATGTCGCATCATTGATTCTTTATTGGTCAGGATTTTTGACATGACATTTTGACACAAAATTCAATGACAGAATTGGAGAAAAAATATTGCTAAGACATACGTTTAAAAAATCATAGCCATTTTTGATATGGTTTTTCTTGAAGACCCGTTATAATGATATGCTTGTCTAGTAATTTGTCGCACATATAGAGTTTAGATATTTCTAATTCAACTCGGTTGGGTTCACCTATTTACATAATTTCTATATCTATTAAGTATTATACTATAACAATAACTAACTATACAGTTATTGCTGCAAAACTTCAAATGAATATTGCTAATGAAAATTGCTGCGACTTTTTGTATTCACTAAAAAGCTTTAATTTACCACACCCTGACTGCTTATTTGTTTTATGCCTGTGATTTTTTTATAAAAGAGTTTTTATATTAAATGTGATTCCACTAGATAATTTGAAATGTAATAATTATTGTTATCACAAATATTATTTTAATTATTAGGTAAGTATGTAATTTGTGAGAAATTTAATAATAAATGTGCTTGTCATAAAATGTTGTTATTTATCGTATTTAGTTTCCCATTCTTTATCCGATAATCAGAGTATTAAGACCACAATAATTACATATGATATACCTAATAGTAAATATGTAAAATAGTATCATCTTATGCTGATGAGACGGTTGCGGTTTTTATTGGAGAAACATGGGAAGGGGTATTGAACTCGAGGCGACCAGGGTTTGTCAGGACACATTTTATCAACTTGTGTATTATTAAAAGAAATTATAGTTTAAGAAAATATGTAAACCACATTTAAAATACTAGAAATAATGAATTTAATGATCCCTAGCAGTAATACAAATATTAACTTAAGATTTTTTAACTACCTCACCCCTAAGAGTGTTCTGAAATTAATGCACCAAATTTATATGGCCTATTCTACGTCGAAAATAAGCCCTAGTTTCCTATATAAACATATGTCCGGAAACGCTTCCTTTCTGAGATACAGGGTGTTGAAATTCTGAGAAAAAAAACTTTTTTGTTATCATAATTTTCGAACCACTCTAGATTCATTGTAATTTTGTACACTGCTTTCAAGCAGCAAAAGACATTTCATGATGTAAAATATTTAGAAAAAAAAAACAGTGACACTATTTGCAAATAATAGGATCCCCAGGGGATCATCCCATAGTTATGCAAATGAGATGAATTGCTTTTTTAAACCTAATTTGTTAACACACAATGGGAAATCCCCTCTTTCAGGTGCTATTTATGAATAAAGAATAAATCACCTAAATAGTATTGATTCTGTATAAAAGAATACTGCAACAATGATATAAATCTTTTGTTTTTAAGACTTGCTTGTGGAAGTTTGCTCAGATTTCCCCATGGTACTCATAATTTTAAAATCAAAGTCTTTGATTCGCAAAACTTACTTCACGCACCACAAACCATAAACAACCCAGGAAGGTACAACAAAATAGCTAGGAATCAACACTGTCAAGCTCATCCCAATAGAATTAATCCAGATTATAATATACCCCACACGGAAGTAATCTCTTAAGTAAGCCTTGAAAAGTTGCTAGGGAATTAATCTTCCTGAGGTTATTTGGCAAATGATTGAAAATATTTCGACTTTAAAGGTAAATCAGTGATTTTTAAGCTCTGTTCTACAACCAGATACCAAACTGCTTTTTTTCTGAAGGAAGAAAGGGCTTATCAACAGGCCATGGTTGGTCACACCCCCGAATAGCATAAGTAAAAAAATGCTGGCTTTTCACCCCAGGGAAACAAGAAAAAAAAAGGCCATCTGCGGAATGAGGCCGAACAAGCTGAATTTTTGCAGAGACCTTCGTTTTGACGTTCTAATGAAGCACCAAAAAATCTCATATGCCTACCCTTGTGCGTCTTGAGATATCGAAGGTCATGAAAATCGGGTTTTTGCGAAAATCTCGCTTCCAGTGCATCTGACGTCGGAGAACTCACAACAAAACTTACGTAAAATAGGATTTTGTACAAAATTGTTCCTATACATTTTTTTGTATGACCAACCGTTTTCGAAATATAGCGTGATAAAGCGGAAGCGCGCATTCAAAATAGGTAATACTGTATTATACTGCGGAGCTATAACTATAAATGCATTTTTCCTAATCTGTTAGTCTGGATAATAAAACTTTCAATAATAAAATTGTTAGAAATTTGTTTATTTGTGATAAAATATATAATAAATAATTGATAGCATAACATGCATAAGAAAAAATACACTTTTCTGCACCACTTTTGAAGTAGGATGCAAGGCGTTTTTTTTTTGACATTGTATCCCCAGTAGGCCTAATCCATGTTTTCGATCTTAAGAAAAGTTTTTTAACATCATTTTTTTTTGCACATGCTATATCTATCCTCTTTGTCTTCGTCGGATTCCACTAGCACCTCGATCAACAAATTATCTTCGTCAGACGCTTCCTCTATATCTGTTGGCTTTATGTCTGTTGGCAAAACCTCTCTAGGCTCAAGGTCACTGAAGTCTTCGATGTTATCTATAATTTTGCTCTTATTTTACTCCCATTTCTTTGCTCCAAAACCGTTCCGTAGTAACAGAGGCTTAAAATAGTATATTATTTATGAGGATTAAATGCAGGGATGGGCATCTACGCGTGAATAAAGATTGTCTACGTTCTCGTGTGAACAATGCGTAGACAATGTAAACTATGTAATCTATGTAGACCAGAGATGGGCATCTACGCGTAAACAAAGATTGTCTACGTTTGGTGTAAACAACGCGTAGACAATGTAAACTATGTAATCTATGTAGACAACGTGTAAAATATGTAGACAACGCGTAAAGTATAAAATTTTTGACAGTTGGCAGGCCAAGGTTATGTTTCTGTTTTTGCTTTGTTTTGTTTTTTGCTTTGTAATGTTAATTATACTGCAGATAATGTCTAATTTGATACAATATAAATTTGATGCAATGCAAACTTTCAAAAAAATTACTCAAATTTCAAATTTTCTGTTGTCTACATTGTCTACATAGTTTACAATTGTAGATTGTAGATTTCGGGGGAGTCGTTTCGGCTTCTCAGCCGCTCAGCACTGCTACCTTTGCAAATATTTTGTGCGTGACTCTACATCTTAATTTGTCTCCAGGAAGCGTAGACTTCTGCCGAAGGAAGCTATTTTCCTGGGTGTCAGTTGGCCCACTTCTTCTGGTGACAGTATTGCCCCCTCGAGGAATTTGAGCCTCTTGCAGAATTGGGCTGGGCATTCGCAGAGCAGGTGCTCTGCGGTTTCTATTGCGTCTGAGCAAAATCTGCAGAGATCGTCTTCCGCTCTGCCCATTAACCTTAAATGGTATTTTACTGGGCAGTGTCCTGTGAGCAGTCCCACCACCAATCTGATGTCTGGTCTGCTCATGTTTAGGAGTGTTCAGCTCTTTTTGCTGAAAGGGTAATAAACCTTTTTGACTGTCTGAGTCCCGGTGTGTGCCTCCAATATGATGACAGTTGGTCTTTCTCCCATTTGTTGAGTTCTTCCATGATGTGGCTTTTCATTAAGCCACAGTAGGGCTCTGGTCCGTGGTATGGTGTTGAGGCCCCTTCCTTTGCGAGGCCATCTGCTTCTTCGTTTTAGTTTACAATAGTCTACATGGAAAAAAGTGGATGTAAACAATACGTAGACAACGAGTAGACAAACCGCGTAAAGTAGATTTCATAGTCTACGGCACATCCCTGATGTAGACAACGTGTAAAATATGTAGACAACGCGTAAAGTATACAATTTTTGACAGTAATGACAGTTGTTAAGCCTTTGAGGTTATGTTTCTGTTTTTGCTTTGTTGTGTTTTTTGCTTTGTAAAGTCAATTAAACTGCAGATAATGACTAATTTAATACAATATAAATTTAATGCAATGCGAACTTATCTTATCTACACTACTCATAAACCAACTTTCCTTTGCCTTTTCACCGCACTAGACATTCTTATCATTGTAGTAGGCACTTTTAGACTTCATAAGTTTCCTATAAACACTACGATATTTGTCGCAATAGGAAATACAACTGATTTTGCTGAATTTCTCCAAGTGCCTAGTTCAAAGAGTGAAGGTTATTTGTTGAATTTTCAAGACCAATTCTGCCGGGCCGAGACTACGCATGAAGGTCCGCTCCAGATCTTTAGTGCTGTTTAATATGCAGCTTACCGCCCCGTGATCAGAGATTCCTGCGTTTAAGACTGTATGAGCAGGCTACATTGTGATAACTAACATAATCAATTTTATTAGAATTTTCTGTGGTCCGAGTCGGCGTGTCAGCATGCATGTAACAAGCAGTTTTGCAATCATAACTCCTGTCAATAAGTCAGAGGTAATATTAAAATCCACAGCCAAAATGATTTTTGACAGAATTAAGTCAAGGCGCTCGAAAAATTTATTCACTGAGCCGCCGAGCCCAAGGGCGAACGATATTATAGTAGCCGTCATAGATATTCGAGATTCCCACAAAACAAAAAAATTATTTCTTTGTCGGGATGCCTCGGGATAAAGCAAAAACTCCACAGATACGGGTTAAGAATCAATTTAGTCCGAGAGCATTAAATTAAATTCATTTTGAAGCGGTTACCTGACCCGTGCCTCCTGATTAAATGCAGGTCGGCTGATGAAGGAACATACTTTTTTGTACGAATCTCGAATATCTATGGCGGCTACTATAACAGATAATATTAAATTAATCTGGTTGCAAGAACATAGTGAGAGTTAGACAATAACCCATTAGATAATTAAATAAATCAACTGCTATGAAACATCCACCGAGACTAAAAACTTTTTTATAAAAATAAGTGCACCCCCATGAAGAATATTTTCTCTACAATATTGGCTTTTACTCAGATTGAATATTCAATAGAAGTAATGAGATACTTGGATTTTTTTTTCAGAATTCGAAATTGAAATTGAACAAAATACATTTAGTTTGGTGGTATGATCATTATCATCCACAACACAAATAAATTGAAAACTAGGAAAGTTTTCACGAGCACTATTTATTTAACAGAAAAACTTCGCATAACTTTATTACTAAGTTCACAGAAAAAATCAAACGTACATGTACGTATTTTACATGAAACGCATAAAGAAAGTAAGTTTGTTCAAGAAACATAACCGGCTCCACGAATCAAACACAACGACGTTTTGCAAAAATATACTCTTGCCGAACACATATGCTTTTCACTTATTATTGGCCATGGAAATTTGACAGGTTAACCCTCGTATAATAATGACATTTGATGACAAAATATTTTTCAAACTTCAGGGTTATGAAACAGAAAGCCGAGTTGCCAGAATGTGTAAAATATCTGAGTAAATTCAAATAGTAAAATTATTCAATTTATTAATTAAACGTAACCATAACAGTAAGCTCAATAGCATAAATATGTTTTTGCAGTAACTTTTTTTCGGGTTTGGTCCAATGGCATTTCTTCTATTTTTATTTTTTTATTTCTTCTTCTTCTGGACGTGCCTATCCCTTATGAATGTCGGCGATCATCGATTATTATGGCGATGTCCACTTAATTCGCAGCAATATGAAAGAGTTGTGGCGAGCTTTTATCAAACAATGTTCTGAGATTTTTCCGTCACGATATTCTTCTTCTTCCTGGTCCTCTCTATCCAAATATCTTCCCTTGCAGGATCGATTGTAACAAAACCTTATCTTTTTGAAAGGGTTGTAAGGCATGGGAGGGTGGGTAAGATCTCGACAATTTTTACATAAGGCCATTTTTTGAGAAAGTGTTAATATACTTTAGGCTATATTTTCAGTTAGATAACCTCAACTATAGGTTACCTAAATGATGTATTATAGAACCAATTCTGTAAAGCGTTTTCTTTAAAAATAATCTTGTATGATGCCTTGCTTGAGTCCAGTACCTCTCCATCAGAAGGGAGACATTGGAGCAAAATAGGGGAGATTTTGGACATGAGCAAAAACATGGGGCATTTAATAAAAATAGTTTATTTCAAGGTAAAGGTAAAATATTATATTTCGCCAAGTAATTATTTTGAAAAATAACTAGAACAGATAAAAGATATAAATTCCTACATTCTAATTAATTTGAATGGAATTCTTGAAAATTTAAAAAATAGAAAAAAATAAAAACCCAAATAAAAAAATCATCCATCCTGCAAACCAAATTACGTCAAATCTAAATTGAAATAAATCATGTCTTTAAATCTCTTTCTTGTATCATTAATGGGGGATGGAAGTAAAGAAGTAATGTCGTAAAATGGAACCAAAGCTTAATCATCTTTAAGAACTGTAAATCTATTTGATGCAACGTGACGTACTAAGAAGTTCACTTCATTTCAATCAAGTCTTCTGATAATTTTCGCTGCCTAATTTCTGACACTACTTTTACCGTAAACTTTGTTATTATAGAACATGTTTCTGGAAGTTCTTTGTAATCAAAATTTTTCTCGTCGTTGACGAAAATTAATTAATCTTCTGATAAATTATCTTTACATTCAATTCGATCCTCCTCCATATCCCTAATCGCTGTCTTTGGGAGTGTCAGTGGCAATCATGCATCTACCATCTATGGCGCAGGATAGTTTTTTGATGTTGATGGTTGTGGCTCTAGGTTGCCTTTTTGATGTGGATAGTTAGTTGCGGCTTTGGATATGAATAATTATTATAGATGGTGGGAGCCGGTTGATCAATTACGTGAGAGGAGGAAACATCTTCTTCTTTGATGATGTTTCGATAAAATGGCATTATTTCAGTGCATCTGAAACCTGATTTTTTTGTTTGTTGGTGCAGCGGTTCTAACCCAAGCTTGTTAACACATCACAAGCAAAACCCAGAGCACCACATCCCGAAACACCTTGCATCATTCTCTTGGCGTCATAGCGTATGCGGGGAAACGGAAATACTCAAATTGGCGGCAAAGCTGTTCCGCTGGAAGAGATTATTCCTACTTGCGTAATCAATTCACCTCTTTCGCGAGAAGTGGCTTCTTTCCAAAAATTTCAGGAACTCGTTGTACCGTCGTTACACCAGTCTACAAAAAAGAATTTGAAATAACATGAGTGGTTCAAAAAAAGATTAAATTTTACCTCATCTAAACTATAAATTTGCACGAGTTCTAGAGTTCGTTTGGGCATATTCATAAACTAATCGCCTTGTTGCGTTTGGCTTCAGACCGTAAAATATAGAGGAACACTTCAGTGGATATTTCTCTCAAGCGTTTTTCATCTGCATAGAAAATACTTATGACGTTATAAAATTTGGTGTAAAATAACATTTTCGAGACCTTTTTCATGAACTTGTCTGACATAGTTCAACCCGGTTACCAACACTGGATTTCTTTACTCCATTTTTTCCTATCTGGATAGGACATGTTATTGTCAATCACATCAACTAGCTTGTTTCATGGAGTCAAGACAGAACTCCCCGTCAGTCTTTTTCTATGTTCTTATTGTTATGTTCTTGCTGAACTGAAATTGAATATAATATGTTTCAACAATCATGTTGCCACAAGTTTTTGTTGCAGTTTTTCTTTTTGAAGGGAAGCTATGGACAACAAGGGGAGATCCTGTGCAGCCTCTCCCCTTGAGCACTTTATCGGATTAGCCTTAAAATATCAAAACCTCCCATTGGTATTTTCGTTCTGTGAGAACATAACCTTATCGGTTAACCTTGCTTTCTACTCTGACACAAAAAGTTAAACAAATAACATTAAAATAAACAATAAAATACTTACCTAGCGTCTTTGAAATATTAGATCAACAATGCCAAAAATACAAAATTCCCATGAAAAAATTTTTCAAAAAAAAAAAAATATTTCACAAAAACAATCTGGGGGCGGATTACGAACTCTCGATTCGAACCGAAACTGCCATGGATTTCGAACGTATTCTGATGCATTTGCATGGAGTGCGTTCGAAATCCATAGCGGTTTCGGTTCGAATCGAGAGTTCGTAATCCGCCCCCTGATCTGTGCCGGTTGACCATTCTGGAGATACTGTTGGCGCCTTGGCGTGATAGATCAGAAAGCCGCAAGAGGCGGGAAATATTAGCGCGTCCATTGTCTCCCAGTGTCCCGATCCTATCCACCCTCCGCTTATAGTTCTGTCAAAGTAATAGTTCAAATTCAGATCCGTGTTTTTAGTCCGTCTTATTCAGCTTCCACCATTTCACTTGAAGAATTAGATACCTCCTGAGATTCAGACAACATTTCTGAATCCGATTCGGAATCGGATTCTCCAAGAGAAATAATGGAAGGAGGAATATTTTTGAAAGGTGAGTCTCCCATGTATTTTGTCTAGTCTTCTGGAAGAAGCCTGTCACAATGTCTACAAAAATTCGTCCACATGTCTGAGGTACATTTTGAAAGAGACTGGTATTGTTTTGGTCTATTCCGAAATGGTTGAGTTATCAGGAAATCAGTTATTTTTATAAACAATTAAGTTATGAAGATTTCACAATATTGCTCAAAATCGAGAATCGCCCTCTAGCGGCTAAATGGTTGAAGATATCAAAATGCGGTTTGCACCAATCAAAATTTCAAGAAATTTGAACCTCGGAGTGGCGATTCATTTTTTTGTATCTCGCTCAGAAATTGACGTTTCCTATTAAAACCATCCAAATTCGGACACCCTGTACATAAAATAAGGAATAATTGACTATTTCTGGTTTTGTTGACCTTAATGGCTAGTGGTTCAGTTAGGAGCAAATAAATGCGTATAAAAGGTTATGATAACATCAATTTTATTGATCAAATTTTTTTTATATAAAAATGAAACTAATCATAAATTTTGCAAAACAAATAAAAAAAACACATTTATCAAAATAGAGGATAATCGGTAGACCATCGTAAGATGAATGGCCATTCATGAATTAGTTGAGTTAAGCTTTCATGGCCATCGTCCAAATGTTTGTAAGTAACAAACACAGCCTAAAATACAGTCCGTTTTTTGTAATACTTTCACACAACCATCATACCATAAAACATTAAAAGTGCGTACTTTTTTCCTATTTTTCTGATCCATACGAAATTTTGACTCATGATAATTTCTCTTCTAGCTTATGGCAATTCCAGTAGTGAAAAATGGAACAGCAATTTCCAAACACCCACTATGAAGATTACTGCAATCCGCCAGGTGTTTGAAAGCTTGGTTTTTAGACTTTCTATCACTCTGCCTTGAATGATCGCGAGTTTGGTCAATTCAATGGTTCACTCTTGTGATATTTTCACATTATACATTGTCATAGTAATTTGATTATTGACACTATTGTTAATAGCTAAAACGTTTCATATATATTTTTACTATACAATTGTTTTTTTGCCCCTGAATAAATAAATAAAAAAATACATAAATAAATGTATTAAAATAATTTTTGGATAACATTTTGCGTTCCCAAAATGATTGGGTTAATATCATTAGTATTGACCCCGCCCACCCCCAGAAATCCACCACTGCTGGTAATGGAACAACTCCACAAAAACACTCAATAAAGTAACATCGCATCAGTTCACCTTCAGTTATTTGTGGCAACAGATTTCTTGAAGATGCCGAACACTAGAGTGTTTGGTATTTTTGCACAATTGCATGATGGATGGCCGCTAGAGTTAAACCTATTAATCAACACACAATTTTCTATATAAATCATATGCCAACACTTGGAACCATTTGGACAATAAACAATTTTCGCATTCCTTGATAGTCCAGTCTTGCTGTTCGTTGGCCCATTGCAGACTCAATACCCTATCGTCCTTATTTTGCTCTGTGGATACGATGCGCGCTTTTCTTATCCTCAAACCAGTCATATACTTCTAGTCATAGTCTTCTAAGGTTTGGTTTGAAAATACTGCACCAGTAGCGTTACACAGTACGCAATCGATGCGTACGCAATAGGTTAGGTTTGGCGATTAGTACCGATTATCCTCCACATTATTCATTAATACCAGTATACAGTAGGTTTTAAGTAAACATAAATAATAGTTTTATGGATTTCACGTGGGTGATGGGACTATAACCCATGTCAAATTCATAAAGTTATATATCAGGACAGAAATAAACACGAATAAAGAATAGTAGTACAAATAAACTAGTCACATTTAGCGATTTTAAAACTAGTTTGGCAGTCCATCAGTAAGCCTCACTTAAGTTTGTTTTTCAATATAATGTCGGCTACGTTGAAGTGAGCAACTGTTTTCTCTTTTGGTGGAATAGATGATTCTTGGCAAAATCGTTTGAACTCTTCAATTTCGAGCTCTTCGTCGTCCATATCATCCTCTAATACGTCTCTCGGTTTGAATATATTATCTGTAAGAGTAATTCATGTATTAGTTCTAGCAAGTTGCTTATTATCGTATGAATTTTTCTAAACAAATAGGTATGAAGAATATTTTATTACCTACTGAACTAATTTAAAGATATGGTCTTCAATACTATTTGAGATAACACAAAAAATATATGCATCAACATGTTTCCAGTATTCTAATAATTTATAAAAACTAGATACTATGCATCATCTCAAATGCAACACAATTTGCTTGCTTGCCAATATGCTTTACATATTTTTCCCGACAGCCGAAAACAGCTGAGGCTAATACTTATTTAAAACAACAAAGATTCAGAAATCTCATATCACTTTAACAAAAATATATGAATCTATTCTGAAGAAAATTAAGATGTAGGCACATAATCCACTACATTGGCAGTAAGTTGCTTAGTGGAACATATTTGTCATAATTTTTGACAGTGTTTGCCAGAACAGTCGTTTGGCCCTAGCGTTAGCCAAACTGAAAGTTTTGTACGTTATTCTTTGCTATGTTGATTTTGGGGATAATGGATTTCCATTTTTAGTTATATTTGTTATATAAACACTCTGCTAAATGAAGAATTATTATCAGATAGTGCTTTGGTAAGTAAAGGCATATCACAAGGAAGTGAAATTGTCCCCTTGTTATTCACTATCAAATTTGGTTCACAACGATGAAATTTATATATTCTGTAGCTACACTTACCATCATACAGCCAGTCATCATCCTTATCGAAATCCAAATTAAACTCAGGTCCATTAGATGGGATAATTGAAACTTCGGCATTTTGACAAGAATTGTTAGGACGCATGTTCTCAGGTTTGGCATTTTTCTCAATTTTAGTTATCTCAATACCTGGCAAGCCCAATAAAATTTCTTGGGCATCTATAGGAGCGATGGTAGTTTTCTTACTCTCTAGTTCCATAGGTTCTTCTATGTTATTGGAAGATACTGTTGGTCGCAAATGGTTCGGATTCAAAAAGTTAGACATCTCAGGTAATAGATTCGGATTTGAGGGCATTCCTAATGGAGCGGAAGTTGGTGGTTTGCTGAGATCATTTTTCAGAGATTGCTGTAACCTGGAACTTCTGATCGTTACCATACCATTTTCAGTAGTAAATATTGCAGCCGGAGCTAATTCTTCTATTGGAGCTAAAGCAGTTTTACTAAGATTTTGACTTTGTAGTTTCTGGAACATAGGATTTTTTAGAGTCACCATTTTTGGTTTATCTTTTGTTTCCGTCTTCATCTGACCTCCTGATTTTTTTTTATTTTTTTTATTTTTACTCAATTTTGTGGGATGTTTCAAGGCTTCAGCTTCATTTTTTTTTATCAACTTTTCAGTGTCTACTACAATCACACCTGATTTGCTCATCATAGAAGATCTGTTAGCCGAATCAGATTCCGAGTAATTCAAATTTGATACTGGTCCTTCAATTTTTGTTAAAGTAATTCCTAAAAACAAACCAGTCATATAAAACATGATATTTTCTTAAATATAATTGAATATGTACCCGGAGGCAATCTTAAATTTCCAAGAGATCTGATTTCTTCTTCTGTAGGTTCTCTTTCCCTCTTCTCTTCTTTTTCTTTTATCTTTCTACGCTGCCCTTGAAAAGGATCAATTATTATTGGTTTTGGCTCAATTGGAACTGGATTTTTATCAACAGCCAGAGTGACAGTTACTCCTTTTGATATAAGTTTTGGTGAGATTGAGAGCTGATGTGCTTCGAGAGGCTCTGGATTAGGCTTCATATTTTTAATTTTTTTTTTGACACCTAAAATCATGAGATTTAGAAAAAAAACGTTAATACTGATAGTTTATTCATTAATACCATTACTTTCAGTTGTTGAAGTTTTAGTGGTTGATGGAGCTTTGATATCCATATTTTGCATCTCAACATCTGCCGGTTTTTCAACTAATGACGTCAACAATTTGTCCTGAATGGGCGTGCATCCTTGAAGGGTTATGATAACTGATGGCGCTCCATTTTCCCCGCCTGGTGGTCTTTTGATAGTAACCCATGCAGGCATGGTTTCTTCAATTGGATCTTTCTGCTGAGCTATTGCCTGGCGTTTTTCAGCTTGGCGTATTTTTTTCAGCTTTTTCTTCAGCTTTGTTTCTTCAAGCTTCTTCTCTTCCTCCAACTTTTCTCGTTGCATTTTTAATATCTCTTGCCTTTCTTCTTCTTGTCTAATTTGTTCTTCTAGCTTGCGTTGAATTTCTAATTCTCCTTGAAGTTTTTCTTGTTCCTAGTCATTTTGAAAAATGGAGTTAATATGTATTTTATTTTATAATGCAAAATATTATTATCCCATACAAAGGACTCAATTAGTGGAGGGAACATGAGACGTTTGAGGTCTGGGTCGTCACGGATGTTCGCATCGTGATTTCTTGAGATTCTCTGAAAAGGTATGGAAAAGAGACTCCGCGCAGTCTACAAACGTCTAATGGAAATGCAAACATTTGAAAACATTGGAAGAATTATTTCGAGTGTTAGCAAGACTTGCGAATATCTAAAATGTTCTTAATAAAAAATTTATGTTTTGGAAATAATAATATTAATATCCACCATAAAAAAATATTTGTATTTCCTAAGAATTCTTAAATCCAAAACTGAGCCCAAAACAAATCAATAAACACGATTGACAAGGATGATGAAAGAAAGACACAGCTTTTGTAATATCGTATCGTTGGATATCAGATGCATGAGGATGCAAATAATTTTAAATGAATTTTCTCACCAATAAGGAGCCGTCAATTCACCAATAGAAACAACATTAACAAATAAAGAATACACAAGACTCTAGCCTAAGTCTTGTATTTAGCTGAATATTACATTATTATTGAATAAGTAGTAGCTCATAATATTGAGTATTAGTTTGCAAAGGCCAAAAAAAGGGTGTGTGGGTTTTCTGTATAAAAATTACTGACTCACTTTTTTTTCTCTTTGCCGAGCTTTTTTTGCCGCTTTTTTCTGTGCAAGTTCTGCTTTGGTTTTGGCTTCACTGCCTACAATGTAGTTTACTAATCCTCGTACCTCATTATTTTTCTCAGCTTCGAAATCTGAAGAATCTGGCGATGGCGGTACAGGAACCTAAAAATTGAAAAAACAACAATTATTGTTATGAAAATAGTGTTGATACTGTACCCACCCTGTTGTCTGTTTTAGGCCTATTATTTTCTTCAGGGGTAATTTTTTGGTCAATATCATTTTCTTTTTTATGCTCTCGCCTTTTGCATAATCTAATTTTCAATCTGGTTCTGGGTTGCACAACTTTTGTACCTCCAAACACTTCACAATAAGTACAATCACATTTTTTCGGTTGTAGGTGCTCATCATGTGGTGTCGCAACTTCTAAACGAGAAATAATAATAATTATTGAATATCCCAGCCAATTAGAAACCAACAATTATCCTGTTGCAGATCGTAATCAGCTCATGATCCGAGTTTGTAAAACAACACATTTGCATTGCAGCTTGTTCATGACATAATGGAATAGACATTGAAAATTGGAAAGTTACACAAAAACTTCATAAAAAAAAATAAAATCGATATAATTACATACATACTAACTCTTTTGATTGTTCCTATTATTTCTTGCCAAAAATGCATACATATGTGTTAAGGAAACAACAACAAAATATGTTTTTCTTTTGAGAAAAACGTAAAAAGCTTCTAGGAAATGTTCGATAAGACTAAAAAAAATAAGAGCTACTTTTCAAACAATTTGCTTTCGGGGATTCAAAGAAATATTTATTTATTTATTTTTTCTCTTGGCCTTTTGGAAAGATCAAAATGTACAAAAAAATATTTTGCCGGAGATCTATTTTCTATTTCTAGTGATGCGCGCAAAGTACCGACATTTCTTTTGTATTCTGTTTTTGAGATTTAAGCCTTGAAATATAGTAGTTTTGATCAGCATTATGTTATGAGGAAGTAAAATAAACATCAGAGAAAATATGATGGATTGTTTGTGATAAGTGTGAATATTACGAGTGAGCTTTACTTTAGTTTGTTCAGACTTACATGTGCTACATATTACTGTCTACCTACCCAATTCTTTTTCAAGTTCAAATATGCTACTCACCAAATTCTTCAGAAACAGAACCGCCACTTTTACATAACATTGTATGACTGGGCCTATAAAAATGTTTACAAATAATTAAAATAATCAAATCTGAAGGAATACTTTCGACTAACTTGTGTCCTAGTTTTCTCAGTTCCCTCAACATTAATTCGACTTCTGCTAATTTTTCAGCAGTAACATGTGGTGAAGCTAACTGGTTGGAACCATCCCTGAAAAAATAATTTATGAACAAAGATTTTTCAAAAAAATACAATAAGTTAAATATACCCTAGCGCTTTCCCGAATCCATTAGCAATTAGTTCATCCCTAAGACTTGGTGACCTACCATTCTTAACCTTTTCACCACTTTTTGAATCTTTTTTGGATTGCACCAATTTTTCATGGTTTGTTGTTTTAGTCAAATTTGGATCCTGTTTTTTTGGCTTATTATGTTCAATAGAATGTAAAGATTCACCACCTGATATTTTAAGTTTGTCGCTAAACATTTCACAGAGGCTTGTAGGGTCGCTGGTGCTGACTATGGGAAAGTCTATTTTGTCTATTGATGGATGAGTCAAATTTTGTTTGGGAATTTCTTTTTGAAGTGGTATATCGTCGGTGTGCCCTGGAAAAATATAGATAATATACTACAAGAGCAAACAATGTTGTGAATTTCATGAAAATAATGATAAAAATAATAATTATCAAAATCTTATTTCACATGATTATCAAACTGGACAGGTCTGTAATCAAAATATATTTGTGCCTTTCTATAGGAAAGATAAAAAAAATTAGGATTTGCCAAGCGATAGTCCCAAACATATATAATCTATTACCTAAAGAAATTAAACACAAAACAAAATATGATGCATTGTCTAAGATGTGTAAATCATATATCTTGAACAGTCACAGTGCTGCCTAGCAGTTTATACCCAAATCATCATAACCAAATCTTTTATTCTAGTTTTGTAATAATATATATATAATATAATCTTAACTAATTATTTCAGATACCCTTGATATTATTTTGTTAGACAAACCTGATAGAATGTTTCTACAATTTACATCGTTTTACTAGTACAGTACATATAGTCACAATAACGTGAACATTCATTGATATGGGCCACTCTGGAATTTTGAAATTGAATGTTCCAAATATTTATGTAGAATTTCTATAATTATTGTTTTGGCTTGATAGGCCATTCTCAATTATAGATAAACTAAAATTGTGAACTGCATTATTTTATTTTTTTTTTTTTTTTTTTACGGATATGCGCACTCACAAGGAAATGTCCTATCACGCTCGAGGAGCGAAAAACAGGCATACTTAAGTACTAAGGCAACTTAAGTACTAAGGCAACTATACAACGTTCCAGGTCTTCTTATATTTTAATATTTGGTTTACAAAAGAACCTCAAGTTTTGTTGCTCATGTACAGTGAGATTAAAATTTTTGATGGATTTTTACATTATATTGTACGCATCTACAAAATGATTGTGATCTAGGCAATGTTTTGAAATGCCAGTACTTTTTATATTGTTGAGAATAGTGTGTTTTTGTTCCTTTATTCTCTGTTCCAAATTCCTGCCAGTTTGTCCAATGGAAATAAAATAACAAAATTTTAAAACATACCTAACTAATAATTATCATGTTTCACAAGGAACCAACCGCGGAACAACACAAACTATTAATTACATACTGTTTAAGTGTCGATGAAATAGGTCCAGATCAACAATACTTTTACATTTCCGACAAAATGTGGTCCTCTCTTCAGTGGCAATGCAAGAAAAGTCATCATTCGAATCCAAATATATTTTATATTTTGCTATCAAACATTCTTCACAAATACATTGTCCATTTTTGTTTAAGCCTGGTCCCTCTGGATAAAAGTGTCTATCTCTAAGCAAATCAAAAAGGTTATGATCCATTCTGCTGAGGTCTATATTCTGTTTTCTGAAAAAAGAAACATGATAATAGTATTGATATGTAGTACCTACAATAATTATTGACTTACAACTCTTCACTCCGATCTACCCAGAAAGTAGCTGAAAGTAATTCTTTATGAAGTGATAGCAACTTTTTTTCTTTTAGTGCTTCTACTGAGTTTTCAGGAAGTTTGCCTGCCTCACTAAAAATCAACAGGAAATATTAATCAATCAGCGACAACAAAAACCTACTGCTTACTTAATAAGAGATGTTTGAGTATGATGTGTAGACCATGTCTTTCTAATTTTATTCAATAATGCAAATGTTTGAGGAGTATCACCTGGGCTTTTCTTTGTCTAAAAATTGATCTGTAACCTGCCATTCCAAAAAATATATCTATTTATCATTTTACCTTTATACATTCATCAACTTTAATTTTTACTCTATCACTTTCATAGAAAAATCTTATAAAAATAAAAGTGTTGAAATCAATCCAACATACTCCATAATTTTTGTACAAAATATTTTCGAAATCAACAAAAACTGGTAATAAGCTTTTCGCAGCAGTCAGCATCGCTTCATAATAGATAATGAATTCTAAAAAAAGTTGAATCAAAAACCTGCAAATACTATTTTCTCATAACTTACTTGCCAATGCTTCTTCTTTATCATTGTGACTATAATGCCACTGTGCAAAAATACAATATTCTCTTAAGAGTGTAAACACTCTTAGCCAAAGTTGACTTTCATCTTCAGTTCGTAAACTGAAAGATAATTCAATACTTATATACCATGTAAACAGGGGAAAAAATAAATTACCAGTTAATGAGTTCTCTCATTTCACAAACAAAATATGAAGAAAGAGTTTCTGTTGCAGCTTTTGGGCTCCAACTTGCAAAGCGTCTGTAGGCGTAAAACAAATAATGTTGTAAATCAATCCAAACCAAATGTGCCTTAGGAGCATGCTCATGAACCTTCTTGACAAAATCAAGGAGCATCTTTTCTTCAATTTGCGTATATCCGTCTTCATCCCTTTCGAGGAATTCAACGTTATCTACTCTCAGACCCTTGAGTGTCTTTTTTGGATTCTAAAAAATAAATTTATAAATTGTACAGGCGATAAGTGAACCTATAAAATTGAGACAAACGAGCAACTCGAAGTAACAGGCCCCGTTTTCCAATATGGATTTATAATACAATTTTTTTTCTAATTGGCTCACAATTTGTGGATATTTTTTGTCAGAGGTTCCTTGAACTAAAGTAAGTGATCATTTGAGCACAGCACGCAAATGGTGACATTAATATGTAAAAAAGAGTGCTAAGACGATAACGTGAGTGCTTTCTCTGGGGCTTTGTGAAAATTATTTTGCATCAAATTCATTTTCTCAGCTTAAGTTAGTTAAACTTTCGAATTCTAAATTTAGACACAACAATCATGAATTTATTTTTAGAACTTAAAAGTAATAAAATTGGTTTAAGTCTTTATTCACCAATATTAAAATATTACTGTTGAAATTTTCCTACGCCGATTTAAGTATCTCCTGAGTCAGCGAAAAGGCAGGCGCAAGCAAGCTGCTTTTTGTAATCTGATACATATTTTTATTATCTACGTGCATGTATGGCAAATTACTAGATTTGAATAAATAGGCTTTCATTACGGCGACACTTATTCTTCATTTACGCCAAAATTTGTACTTATGTACAGGGTTTGCCCATATATTTTTGCACCCCACCTGCAGCCATTACCTTTAGAGGTATATGATAGGTGTAAATACAAAAGTTGTACAATTTTAGCTAAATTTTTAGAATTCATAGTCAGAAACAAAAATTTAATATAAGAAATTTGAAAATTTGCGTACTTTCATCTTTTTTCGAATGCAATAACCTATATTTGATACTATATTCTTGAAGAGCACAATTTTCCGATTCCAAAAATATATAGTTTGTCTATATTTGGTTGAGCCGCCTCCAACATATTTGGCTCTACAGATTTGAAAAATACTATCAGAGAAACCAAGTGCCTCAAATTTTACCTGCAGCTGTCATCTTGACAGGTAGAATGGTTCACAAAATATAAGGCAGTATGATAGTATTTTTCTTGGTATTTTTACAATTTTCAGAGCCAAATATGTTGAAGACAGCTTAACCAAATATAGACAAACTATATATTTTTGGTATCGAAAAATTGTGCTCTTCAAGAATATATGTAGAATCAAATATAGGGCAATCATTTGAAAAAAGTTGAAAGTATGAAAAATTTCAAATGTCCGAAAATAAATTTTTGTTTCTGACGATCGATTTTAAAAATTTAGCTAAAACTGCACAACTTTTGTATTCACACCTATCGTCTACCTGTAAAGGTAAAGGCTGCAGGTGGCGTGCAAAAATATATGGGTAAACCCTGTACCTAAGTACCTACGTAGTGGGTACTTATTCTTTCATTACAAATCGAATGTGTTTAAGTCGAGTTGTTTCTTGGCCGTGTTTATGTTGGAGCTGTGATAAAAGCTATAAGAGGATCGATAATAGCAGTGATAAGAGCTATTCAAAAGTATCCTTTCAATAGAATCAAAAAAGCGCTGCTCTACTCGCCTCTCCAACATAGACACCTGCGTACAAACACCGGCATTCTATTTCGTTGCTTCGCTAGTATTGTTGCTTTTATCGTTTATCACAGCTCCAACATAATCACACCCTTAGGTCGTGTTTATGTTGGAGCTATGATACACGATAGAAGCAACGATACGAATGTAAAGTAACATTAGTATCGTTGCTTTTATCGTTTATCACAGCTCCAACATAATCACAGCCTTAAGCATATTCATATTACTCGCTATTTTTATAGGAATTTTGTGAAGCATTACTGAATATCTGAATCAAAATCAAAATTGTAACGTGTCCACAGTGTTTGATGCAATTAGGCCTTGGCAATCCTTCCAATAGTCGGAATTTAGGATATTTTTCTGCGTATTGAGAAAATCCCGGCGAAAATTCACTAGTTTCTCTAGGTTAGAGATAAGAACAATAAATAAACCATAATAATCTTACGATTCTTGGGTCATCACCATAATATAATAATTATTGACCCTGGTCATATTGTACAGATTGTAGCAAATTTGACTCGAAATTTGATAAACAAATACCTAATTCAAGGTTCATTTCCACATAATTTCAGGGTTGGCAAATATCACATTAAGCTAGGAGAGGGACGTTGAACATCGCAAACTTGGCACAAGTTCTGTTTTATTTTTTTTCTGGTAGGACAAGAGCTGCTTATCATGGGTCTAACTTTTTCCAACAAAATTTCCCCCTGGAACATCCTCTTTCATCCCCCTAGAGGGCGTTTTTTTTGGATTTTCCGAAACCGCTTCTGCTACGTTTAACAAAAAAATACCTTGCTAGTAAATTATTAAAGAGGACTAAATGCCCTACAATTTATCCAGGGACAGCATTTGTCTATCACCTACCCTTTAGCCTGGGCGGGGCTCTTGAGTTGAATGACCTTGAAAAAACTTATATGTTTCTTTTTTCTTTTTTTGACTGAGCAGTGAAGCGAATCCACCACAAACTATGAAGCAACTACTCATAAATAATTGGCCGATTTTTTGGCAAATGTTTTGTTTAAAAACATTCACCCGTTTTAGATATTCAGGGTGTTCAAAATTTAAACAACCCCCTTTCATATCATCTGAAGGGCTTATGCTGGGCTTTTCAAATTTTCAGGGATTAGGAATGATATTTAAATAAAATAGAATAAATAAATAAATCTTTTTTGCACATAAGTAAAAATTATATACAAAAGGCTACATTCGCATTGGCGTTCTTCCATGAAGCCCACTGACACCACATTGCAACTACAACTACGATATTGATTCAAAAAATTGTCTTTTGTACTTCTTCCCAAAAGTACTCAAAGCATTGTTTACAATTAAATTATATACATTCGAGTTTAACAGGTGTATTGCTCGAAATGCGAAACGAAATAGTTTCTAAATCTGCTAGTCCTATGGTAGGGTATATTAAATCTAAAGACGTTCCTCAGAACTCTATCATGTATATCATCCCTATTCACAATCATAGTGAAGAGATAACTAGGGCAGCCAGATCTGACAATTCTATACAAAAAAGTGGCAAAAAATGAAGCGACACACAGGTTGAACTTTAGATCCAAGTATATGTACAATATGCTCAAATTTTCCCACACAATAAACAAAACGCATGCAAGCATTCTGCGCCAACTGTAATTTATTTTTCATTCCCTCTGTTAATAAATTATAGAAAACAATGCTACAATAATCGAGATGAGGGTAACAGAGAGATTCAATAAGCATTAGCCTCGGCATTAGCTTTGCTTTAGGCCAGGGGGAAGTATGTACTTGAATGAATACAGTGACTTTAATTAAAGGTAAAGAGCTGATATTTTTTTCCTGATGTGGGCATCAAAGTTCAAGCCACTGTCAAAAATCAATCCAAGATTCTTAGCATTCCCCGCATATGGCACTATGACATCATTGACACAAGGGGTGCCAAAGTTAAACACATTAAACTTATCTATAAGTGATTTGGATCCCAAAATCATGTGAACACACTTAGACGCATTGAGAATCGACCATTCATATATTCTATTTAAATCCTTCCTTATTGAAAATTTAATTTTGCAATGGCCCCAAAAGCAATTATTAATAATACTGCTTCTTACTTGGCTCCCCCTGTATTTTTGTTTAGATATTTTTTCTACAATTAAGGAAAGGCATTCCTAACATTCACACAAAATTTCAGAAAAATCCGCCGAATTAAAAAAAATATATTCAGAGCCAAATTGGGATCCAGATAAATTTGGCCCACAGTGTGGTATTATTAACTCATTGGATAGCTCTGTTTGTGATTATAAGCTTATTCTAATGGTATAAGATTTAATAGGTGTAAATATCTCTAACAGTTTTGGAAAAGAGATTATACTTGTTTTAGTATCTGATAAAAACATATAAATTGAACAATGATGCTTGGAAAATTTTTCTCCAACATTTTATTGGAAAAATCGAGGGTAAAATTTTCTATAAAATTTTATTGGAAAATTCTTCTATAAAATTTTTCTATACAGGGTGATTCAAAAGTAAGCGGCAACCTTTCGGGAGCGTATTCCTTGCATAAAAATAAGACAAAAATTCCTATTAACATGGATCCGGAAATGCTTCCTAAGGGAGCTACGCCCCTTCGAATAGGACACCTGAAAGAAGTGTTTTTCTGTATAACTTTGAAACCCTTCACAAATGGATTTTGAAAATTGGTATATTTTATAAACATTTGATGGCAATTAAGATACTAAATTAAAAATTCAAAAATCTTAATCAATGTCACATACTGGGGAGGGTGAAAACATCCCTATTTTTTTTTTACTCGTCAGATTTTTGAGAAACATACGCAAATCATAAAATTTTCAAAGTCAATTTTCTCGTAAACGGTGAGCTGTATCAAATTGAACCAAGGGTGCCTTTTCTGTGTAAAAAACTCTAACTTTTTGAATCTTCAATCAAAATCGCAAAAACCTGATGATTAAAAAAGAATAGGGATGTTTTAACGCTCACCTTCCCCAGTATGTGACTCCACTGATTGAGATTTTTGAATTTTCAATTTAGTATATTAATTGCCATCAAATATTTATAAAATACACCAATTTTCGAAATCCATTGGTGAACGGTTTCAAAGTTATAGAGAAAAATACGTCTTTCAAGTGTCCTATTCGAAGGGGCGTAGCTCCCTTAGGAAGCATTTCCGGACCCATGTTAATAGGAATTTTTTGTCTTATTTTTATGCAAGGAATACGCTCCCGAAAGGTTGCCGCTTACTTTTGAATCACCCTGTATGTATGTATTTTCTTCAAATGTTTTGAGATTTAAAATAGTTTTTCAGGCTCTCACTTAGCGAGAAGTAAGACTTGATTAATAAGATCAAATGCTTTATTGTAATCAAGCAATGTTAAACGTGAAACCAGTGACCGATCACTGAATTGAGATATATCCGAGGTAACCTTGCTGAGTGCTGAGGCTGTGCTATGGCTTGGCCTAAAACCAGACTGCATGGATGGTAAAATATTGTGCCTACCCAAATACTCTTTCATCATATCGAAATAGAAAAATCACTGGAAGAGGGAAAAGTCTGTTCCGCAGTTTTCCTCGATGTAGCGGAAGCATTTGACAAAGTTTGGCATGAAGGCTTAAACTATAAACTAAAGCTGTTTCTGCCAAAACAATATTCTGATATTTTGGAATCATATATGTGTGATAGACATTTCAGAGTCAAACAGGAAGATTTTGAGTCAAATTTACGAAAAATAAAAGCAGGTGTACCTCAGGGTAGCGTGCTAGGTCCCTACTTATATTTATTATTTACATGAGACATCCCAAAACCAGAAAATTGTCATTTAGCAACATTCGCCGACGATACTGGTTTAATTACAGTTGAAAAAAGTATTGAACAATCAACAGAAAAACTGCAGAACGCTGTCAGTGAAGTTCAAAATTGGACCAAAAAATGGCGAATAAAATTGAATGAAACCAAATCAATTCACGTTGATTTTACAAACAAAAACTTAAATCACATACAAATCACAATTAATGACACCCCTATACCATATTCAAATCAAGCTAAATATCTTGGTATGACTCTTGATGCGAAATTGCGCTGGAAAGCACATGTTAAGAAAAAAAGGCAAGAGCTTGAATTTAAGTATAGAAAAATGTACTGGTTAATTGGAAGGACGTCCAATTTAACCATACATAACAAGTTACTGCTTTATAGGCAAATACTGAAACCAGTATGGGCATATGGCATTCAACTTTGGGGTTGTACTAAAGATAGTAACATACAAGTTATTCAAAGATTCCAAAATAAAGTACTAAGAAACATTGTTAATGCACCTTGGTACGTTCGAAATAGTGATCTACATCGGGAACTAGGAATTGATACTGTAAAAGAGACTATAAGAAAGTACGCAAAAAGCCATGAAGATAGACTACATCGGCATGTGAATGTGGAAGTGATTGAGCTCCTAGACAACACTGAGCTAGTTAGAAGACTGAGAAGGGTGAAGCCGTTCGAGCTAGTGAACTGAAATTGAAAAACACAACAAAATAGTGCTATAAACACACCAAAATTGTGATTTACAGTTTAAGCAAAGTGGGGAAAACTGTTGAGTGAACCTCAAGAATTGTAAACTTTATAGTAAATTGGGTTAAAACAAAATTGCTAATTAGTCTTACTGACTAGATTGTAATGTAATAAACACAATGTGTTTGACAAATAAAAAAAATAAAAAAAAATCATATCGAAGAACAGCAGTTCAGGCATTTCTCCCAGAATAATCTGAATACTCATAGGTCAGACCCCATTCAGGTTATCAATTTTAGAAGCTCTAGGTATCGGTTTAATAATAGAAGTTTTCCAAAGCACAGGAATCTTTCTAGTTTCAAGAAACCGGCTGAACAAAACCGTGATAATTGGTACAATATAGTCAAGACTCGAGTCAAGATTAAAAAGAAGCAAGTAATAACTAACATCATCAATGCCCTTACATCTAGGTTTAATTCGTCTGAAAGACTTATATATCATATTCTGTCAAGATTCTAAATGAAAAACGTTCATTATTGATTAAAATATTTCAATGTGTCACTGTCAATGGGAAGGGCCAGCTGAGAGACCTTCGCAAAGTGATCACTAATTAAAACGACATTTTTGAAATGAACTGGAAGCTCACTATTTCTCCCAGAATGAATGTTCCATTGCCTAATTTTGGACCAAGTCTTCTTGGTATGATTCTTTAATTTGTGAATCTCTTATACACACCAATATAACGGTTGTCCCTGGAGGGTGGCTCACCCACTGATTTAAAGACCTCATTTGTCCACTTTCTGTCTACACCTAACCCGAGACCTAACCTCAAAATTATGTGGGTTTTCAAGTTTTTGAATTTAGAGTTGGGTTAGTCAATTTTGCATTAACTAGTTGTATCCCCAAGTGTATCCCCTAAAGACTCATTTAAAATTTGCAGTTTGCTTTTGTTCCTAAATCAATCTTTTCAAATGGAATCAGGGTGTTTCATTAACCTTTTTGGGAAGAGCATTTCGATACCACACTATCGATATTTGCATTACGAATTTAAAAGATGATTTAAAAATTAAAAAATTAAATTAAATTAAATTACTTTGAATAATTAATATACCTACACCCCGATTCACGTAGGCCGTGCTTTAGATTTTTTCTACTTTGCAGGTGGATTAGTATTATTGTTATCTAATCCACCTACAAGCTAATACACAGGCTACGGAAGTCACCCTGTATAGGTTGGATTAGTGTAGGTAAGTATTGAGGTAAGTATCTATTTAATGTGCTAACTAGTAACTAACACAAAATTCACAAAATATAACAATCTTTATGCCGTTTTCTTATAAAATAAACTTGATAATAGGTTAATTTTTTTAGTTTATAACTTATTTCAATCTGGAACACTAATTACTTAATTCCAATAAGCCGTTGACTAAGCCAGAATGTTAATTAATTAGTCAATAATCACAGCATGGAATTATTTAACAGTATTCAGTATTACCACGGGTTACCTAGCAATACAAGTAATTATATGGCATTTCCAAATAACCGTGCAAATAACTATTGAGATTACTGGCATTAATTACAAAAGTACCTAGCATTACTAGGATGTTCAATAATGTTCACTAGAATTACATAGCGTTACATTTAACAGTATACAGGATTACCAGCAATACCTAAATATTTGGATTTGGAAATACATGAATGTACAGTAAAATTATCTGTGAGACACTCCTCAGATTTTATACTTATACTACAGAGTAAAATAATATATTATGTTTATCGTTTTAAATAAATATCAAGTTTTGGTACCTTACAATCCTTTCCCCCAATATACAAATATTACAAAAGCAAACCAACAATAGAGAGTGTTGTAAAATTATCGAGAAAATGATCTTCTTTATTTTATCCCCCCCTCCCCCCGCAAAAAAAATATATTGACGCTGATACTTTGCCTTGTTCGGATCACCATGATTTTCAATAACGGTTTCAACTTTCTAACACATGTCAATAAAAAACTCTCTTTCGCTTGCCCTATTGAAGTGATCTTAGCGAGAGACACAGTTAAGACTATTGCAATGTTGTATTCTCGGTTGTATTCTAGTACCTATTATCTGAACATTCTGAACATTGAATTTAAGAAAAAAATTCAATTAGCTCAAAATAGGTACCTACTTTTGAGATTTATAGTTATAGAAAATTGTACCATATTACACCAACCTATGTAGAGAATAGGATCTTGAAAGATGAATAGCCAGCAGCACTTTGGTGAATTTGTGTGTAAAATTTTTAAATAATATGGTTCCCATCATATCTTTCAGAGTTGTTTATAACAAGACAAGACCTTCATGACAGCAGTCTAAGAAACATATTTAGGTTTCAGATACCATGGCACAATACAGCAGGTTTTAAAAGTAATTCTCCTATCAAGCTGTACAACTCAAGGTACAGCTACTAAACACGGTATGAATTGATGATTTCATGTTCACTAGATAATTTTAAGCAATAATTAATTTTTTGGGTAACATGGAAGAATACATTTGGTGAAACGTTATTATTATTAGTATCATTATTATTATTTTATTATCATCAATATTATTATTATTGTTATTACAATCGCACAGTTTATTATTGAAATTTGTGATAGCCAAGTCGTTGTCATTTTGTTGATTGATGAACTGTGCGATTGTTTTAAATTGTTCTAGAACCGTCAACAGTCCTTTTTTCGAACCCGTAAAAAGCTAATAGTACCTATACCATAGGGAAAATAAAGTTATTGGAAATAAATGATTTAGGTTCGACTTAAAAAAAAAACTATTGATTGATTTGACTTACCTTGACTAATTGATAAATATATTCACGAGGTTTACCATAAATCTTTGTTAAATAGTCATTTGAATATATACTCTCCTCATCATCTTTGGAAGCTTTAATTAGTAATTCTTTCTCGTAATAGGCCCTACGACAAGTTTGTCTAACCATAAGGTCAATAAACCGAAATAAAGCATCTTGTTTCTCCAGATCTTCTCTTGATGGGCCACCGGATGGGCTACTCATTTTGGTAGAACTGTCTTGAATCTTGATTGATTTTTTCGTCAATGATTCAATATATCTGCACTCAATAAGCAGTGTCACTAACTGGTCAGTCCTAAATTATCGACACATAACACACTCGCTATAGTTTGAAAAAAATAGTCACAACATTCACAGCCACAGCACTCAAGTTTTGTGAATTTTGACCCAAGCAAATCATCCACCTTCCTTAACCTACTCGACTGGCTACTACTAAGATCTAGGACCAATGATTGGGGAGGTGGAGGACCAAGGGAGAAATGAGAATCAGGAGAAGGGAGATGTGTCATGAGTCGTCAATTTCAAAAGAGTTTTTCATTTGCATCTGCGAAACCCGCTCCAAGCAGATCGAGTTGGAATCGTCGAAGAACGATAAACGGAATCGGCAGAAGTTATGGTTTGGATCTCACCGATTATAGATCACTCACTTCTACCAATTCTACTCCTTGCGACCCTTGCTTTGATGTTATCAGGAATATCGCTATTTTCCTCCAAGTCTGAATGAATTCTTCAAAAATGGCATTCTTTTACATTTCACAAATAAAAGGGCCCGGATTCCGAACCGGCGATTCCATCGTCTATCGTCAGGTAATGCACATTTGGCCTGACACTGTACACTCCCCGAACGCAGCAGTTGAACGCTGTATCCGAGTGCCCAAAAACAATGAACGAACGCAAATGAGCCTGCACCGAGTACACTTTTTAAATACGCGAACGGTAAATACATTCACGGAGAACTCAGATCAAAATACCGAACGCACGGTCCCTGTGATGTCACGTTACTCCGTGATCGCTATGCTCGCTCCGCCAAGCGTCAACCCAAGCGCAGCCACAGGGAGTGCACCGTGTCAAGCCAAATAAACTCGTGCAAAAGTACGACGATAAACTATCCAATCGTGGGTTTGGAATCCAGGCACCAGGTTCGAAAAATGGAGAGGATCCAAGCACAATCTATGAGACCGCTTAGTGCGGGTGCGGATATATAAAACTATTTCGAGTCGAAGAGTGAGAGCAAGGATAATACACACTACTACACAAGATTGCTTATCGGCGTCATCAGGAATCGCGGTCATATTGTGTAGCACCATTGACGACGTCATGAACTACGTCGTCAGCTGTTTGTGCCAGCGGTCGTGTTAATTTGTACAAACCAAGTATGCATAAAGCGAAACCCCGCGAAATTATAACCTGTGGTGTGGTGCAAACACCCTACGTCTCTACATCTCAGAAACGACGCGCTGCTTACGTCATCACTGGTTCTTTGGCTTGAGAGTTGATCTACACGGGCCGTATTATGAGGATAAGCTATCCTGTAGTAGTAGTTGTGTATCATCCATCCGCAAACTTAACAGCCGCGGGGGTCGTTCATGACAGAACTTCAGATTTCAAATCTGTTATTAGTTCTGTGCTCTGATTTGGTTTATTTTTTTAAATTTGTCTGCGAAGAAAAAAAAAACCTCACATTATATTTGGCATAAATATTCTTTGATCGATAATTCACAATCCGAATATTTTAATTTTCCGATTCTTTCTGTTTTTTTCAAAATGAAAAGTAACTCATGTGTGTATAACTATTTGATTGCCTATTTCCACAAATGTTGACTATGCGTCTTTTCTGGCCAGTCAACTATATACCTACTACTATACTTACCTGGAACGGACTAGACCTTTGTCAAATAAAGGCTTTTGATGTGTGTCCGTTTCAACACTTTACTGTGACGGCTACCTTTAATAAGTCCAAATGAGGTGAAATTTTCAGGGTGTCCTCTACTAGGATAAGATTCACTGAAAATTTCCGCTCTCCATCTATAATTTTTTTCCCGCCCACTACCCGCGCCCGCTCATTACCCGCGCACTAACTACCTTAACGCGTCTCAGAAACTATAGGTCAAAATGAGCTAATATTTTCAGGGTTTGTAGACCTCTACTCTACTAAGATAAGATTCACTTAAAATTTCAGCTCTCTATTTATAATTTTATTCCCGCCCACTACCGGCGCACTTTCTTAACGCAATTTTATCTCAGAAACTATAAGTCCAAATGAGCTAAAATTCTCAGGGTTTGTAGTCCTCTACTAGAATAAGATTCACAGAATATTTCAGCGTTCCATCTATAATTTTATTCCAACGCACTACCCGCGCCCGCTCATTACCCGCGTACTTCCTTAACGCCATTTTATCTCAGAAACTATAAGTCCAAATGAGCTAAAATTTTCACGGTTGGTTGTCCTGTACTAGGATGAGATTCACTGAAAATTTCAGCTTTCTATCTATAATTTTTTTTCCGCCCACTAGCCGCGCTCGCTCATTACTCGCGCGCTTCTTTTAACACGATTTGGTCTCAGAAACTATAAGTCCAAATTAGCTAAAATTTTCAGGGTTTGTAACCAATAAAAGGGGGCCCAACATACTACCTTCCACGTGTGGCTAAATTCAGCTGGCTTAGGCACCGCGGTGGAATGGTAGAAGAAGAAGCAGTGTTGTAAAATTAAACAGGGTTTGGCAAGCGTGGTTTCGCATTGACATCAGTGAAGCGTAATCACCGCATCTGCTGCGGTGCACCATTTTGGTGAATTTAGCCACACTGCCACACGCGGCTTGTGGGACACCCCAGACATGTACCCTTTTTGCAGATAAGTACACTGTTATCTATTTCACTTAATTCACTTCATTTATTGGAACCGGTTTTGCAGATAGTCTCTAGTCCAACTTAATGCCTTTTCTTAAGTCTGGTTCCTGAATATGCGGTTTATGTGTGGAACCGCGTTTCATAACCTAACCAGATTTCAGGAGTGGTTAGGTTACGGAACGTTTACCGGAAAACCAAGAATCTTGGTTAACTTACGGAACGTCCCCTAAACAACATAAAGTAACCATTTTTCTAATAAAATATATGCCTCTATAATGAATCGTTTCGAATGCTCATGATCGTTTAATGGAATGGCCATTTGCACCGACCATGTAATGGTCGGTGCAAATGGCCATCAGAGGTCCACAAAAAAAACTATAATCACTGTTTTGCCTTCGTTTATGTCATTTCTCCATTTTGCAGCTACATATTGAACTGCATTCTCACAAGAAAGATGGCTTTAAATGCTGACTGTCCAACATTACTTCCTGCTCTAAAAATATTTTCCCAATTGCGAACATGCTATAGTTTCTAAGATTTTATCCACTACTGGCAGCAAATCTATTGGCCGAGGACGAAATTCACCAGGAGTTGAAAGTATCATTATTACTTTTGGAATTGGCACAATCACACTTGTTAAGTCATTAGGGAAGGTGCTGATTTCAAATGAAGTATATTTATCAAATCCAAGAGCGGATAACCTTTAACACAGAAAATGTCCTTACTACGGATGCCATCTTGGAAAGCAAGTTGAACCGGAGAAAAAAAAAACCCTTATTGAAAAAAAAAAGCTGAAAAAAAAATCCTACAAATCTGATAACAGATGCATAAGGTACACTCTATCTATACACAAGTCTCCGGCATCACCGGATGATGCTTCAGATTTGGGAATTGAGACGGTTGGAGAGGGAGATCCAGGGATTATTACACACTACACAGAATAGGACAACCATAGGATAGCCTATGCGCATATAGCCTCTGTAAATCAAATCTCAAGCCGCCCACCACGCCAAAGCACCAGTAATGACGTAGCAGCGTGTCGTTCCTCGGCTTGACGAAGGATGTTTGCACCACTGGCTATGATTCCGCTGACTGTTGCTTTATGCATACTTGGTTTTAGTACATTAATGGCAATGAGATCAATCGTTAGTCAATCCTTGTTAGCAAACATCAAACAACAACCTCAGATTGTGAGTTGTGCCACACAAAAACAATCTCACATTGACATTAACACAATCTGAGGTTTTTGTTAACGAACTAATTGATCTAGCCGCGCGCAACATTCTAAAACAACCCTTTTTAGATCTCGTTTGCATCTTCCGCTTTGCCTACTATGTTATTCAAAATTAAATAATATTTTTCATCATAAATGTATATTTTAACTTACAACCACTGGCGCAAACAGTTAACGACACCGTTGATGACGTCGGCAACGGTGCAACACCATATGACCTTGATTCCAAAAATCGAAACCGAAGAGCAATCCTATGGTAGTGTGTAATATCCTTGAGGGAGAGCAGGAACAGTATTGCGCTGTTGCAATCTTATTTTTTTTCCTGAACATAAGAATTATTTTTACCTTTTTTTGTTAAATGCGGATTTACCCGGAGAAAATACCTAGTAATCCGGAGCCCGGAGACCATATGTGAAAACCCGTAGACTCCGGGTGAAACCCGAAGAGGTGGCAACCCTAGTCTTAACTAACTTAACACTAAGTAAATTGTCACTCGTACCTAATGTTTTTTAAATTACTAACAACTTTGCTGAGTTTCGCAACTCTGATTCTATTGAAAGTTACGAAATATGATTCTATATAGGTACCTGCTCAGGGACTTTCACTATAACAAACTTGCTTCTCCATCAGGATAGACTTTCTGCCACTTTTTGCAAACTGTCCAAGTAGAAATTATTAAATTTCTCTTCTGCTGGCCCATTGTATTTTCCATATTTTCAAGTAATCAATATGTTTGTTTTTACTCCCGATTAGGTCTTTTAAGGTCCTCCATATTTTCTTTCCATCTCCACGACAGTCATCAATACTTTTTTCAAAATATTTTTCCTTTTCAATTTTTATTTTTGAGACAACTTTATCTCGCCTTCCTTTATAGTCTTCCCAATCTGGCGGTTCCTTTGTAAAACGGAGTTTTTTGTATGCTCTATCTCTCGCCATCTGTGCAGTTGTAATTTATTTTGTTAATCAAGGGTATGTTCTCTTATTACACTTTTGCAAAGGAGCGACTCTATCAAGGGCTTCTTGTATGCTGCCTACAAGATTGGAATAAAAATTGTTCACATCCACACATGAGTGGTTCCAATTTGTTCCTATGAGTTCCAAGATCACATTATTGATTAGCATGCTGATTCAATTCACGGACTTATGAAATTTGTGGCTTTTCCTGAGCAGTACCTTGGAATGGTTATTCTGTGCCAATCATTTCATGGTCGCTAATTGCTAGAAAGCTTCGTGGTGTTTCCTGTGCTCCAAAATCATTGGTAATTATGTAATCTAATAGGGTGGAAGATCTGTCTGTTTCTGGCTGGCTGGATCTTGAGTTAAGAAAGCAGTAACATGACGCAACAAAAAAAGTCTCGTTTTTGAAATTTAACAACCAGCATCCAAAATTGATTTTCGACAGTTTCATTTAAAATAAATTCAAAATTTAAACAATTTTTTATTTTAATAATAACTTTGCCTGCATGCCTAGTGTTGGAATGGCAAATATGACAAACGTTTTGGCATTTAAAAGCAGATTTCAGGTTGAGAAAAGTTTTGGAGTTATGAACGTACAGTGCTATCTTTTTTATTCCAGCTTCTAATGTTTCTGCCACAGGGCAACATATTCAAAAAAAAACTGTTGCCCATCCTTTTTTTCCCAATATCTGAATATGTAGGTACTACATTTAGGTACCTACCTATCTTCAGTAATGATCCTAGTCTACTCCACTGTATTTTTTTTCGAAACCTTATCACAGGATTCTGTGATATTAAAAATCGAAGAAGCAACATTTATTTTTGAAAACTGTCCAATTCTATAGTATCATCGCAGGTACACTGATAATATGTAAGAATGAAGGGGAATTCCAGTTTTCCGCAATAAACAGTTTCCCATCATAATTCATATTTCTACAATATTGCATTTGAAAATTACACAGGTTCTTGAACAGCAGATTCCTGTGCCTATTATTACTTATAAATTCCTGCATTTTGCGAGTTTCCACAAGGTTTTTCTAAACTCAAAATGGAACCAATTTAATTTCTTGTACCACCAGCATCAGCCCGAAAACTTTTGGGATTGTTACGTACCTACCCTCGATTATTAAAAAATTGCAGATTATCCCAGCTAGGTGGTTGAAGTAGACAATGGAATTAGGGACGACGTAAGGATAGGCAAGATCCAGGTATCGAGTATGGCATGAGTTATTTACCTGAAGCCTATGAGAATTTACAAGCGCAAACTGAACTATTTTATCAAACATGGCTGATATGTATTGGTAGGGAACGAACCCTACTTCGAAAGATAGTTGTAGAGGAGGTAGATAATGGGAAGGTAGGTACATAATATACATTTTGAAAGACTTAGAACAAAAATATTTTTATTTTATTTTTCAAATTTTCGTTTATTACCATAGCATAGCTACTACATTTTTTTTCCCAATCTGAGAAATAATGTTTAGGTAGGTAGATACCCACCTACATATAGACTCTGATTCACGTAGCTCGTGTATTAGAAGTTTTCCAGTTTGCAGGTGGATTAGTAGAGGGAGCATCTAATCCACCAGCAAGCTAATGCACGGGCTACGTAAATCACCTGTAAAGATGTATGAACAGGGTCTGTTCCTTATGATTAGTGCGGCTTCTACAGCTTGAACAAAAAAAAAAATTTAAAAAAGTGAAATGCAAAAGTTGTAGGCTTTTATCTCTATTATCTTTTGCAAATGTATATCACTTGCATTTTTTAAACGGAATACCCTGTATATTTTTGGATAAAATGATAGATTTTTTTCTTCTGATTCCAGATATACCATATATGTTGGTATTTGGTTCAGCTATTTTCACGCTATTTAAGTTAGGTCTCTTCCCGGTTTCTCATATCAATGATGAGGCTTGCTCAATGCAATTTTAAAATTAAAGAGCACAAAAACAGCTAAACCAAATATCAATCAGAAGAAAAAATCTATCATTCTAGCAAAAATATAAAGGGTGTGCCATTTTAAAAAATGCAAGTATTTGTCATTATGATAGTTGGCACCTGTCAATTGCCCGTTCAGATATTTGCAAAAGATAACAGGGATGAAATCCTACAACTTTTGTATTTAACTATTATTTAATTTTTTTTTTGTTTAAGCTGTAGAAGCCGCACTAATTATAAGGAACAGACCCTGATGTCCATCTCTTTTATCTTAAGGATAAGAAAATCTTAAAATATTATCACCTAGGTACTTTATGGCAACTAGCAATCGCAACAATTTAAAATGTTTATAAAACTTAATTAGCTGTTAATTACCTAAAAGGTATTTCTTATTAGGAATATGTATTAAATAGTTTCTTTGTAACAATAAGATATCACAATATTTACAGTTTTATCTACATACTTAGGTACACGTTTTTGTGAAGGATTTCTTGGGATTCAGTCAAGTCGACCATATAGGTATACTGTTAGTGCTGGTACTTTTGTTCTCAGTTTTCGAATTTGATAGCCGTTAAAGATAATCAGGGGCTTAAATGGGCTCCAACCAGTAACCACATTATACCTACAGACCTTTGGCCCATGCAAAACATTGTTAAATTCAACGACATATCAAATTCGTTGATCGAGATCAAAAGTATCGGCCCTTAGTGTACTAATTTGTTGTTTTGCTATTAGAATAGTCTTCTGTGATATGTCTAGAAAATGGTGCTAGTATTTATCATTCTCTGTTTCTATGGATTTTTTTTTTTTTATTGTTGAAGCCATTGAAGAGTAGTTGTTTATTTTTTCGAACACAAAGAGTCGTACACATATCCCTTTAAAAATAGTAGTTTGAAATTTAAGTTAGAAGTAGCATTCTCCTTCTCACATGCCATACAAGGTTTGCGATAGTTGCAAAGATTGGGGAACCCATTATTCTATGGCTGTACCGAAAATCTGCGTTCAAAATTTATTAACAAAATTGAAGTAGGTAGAGGATAAGCAAAGTTCAACACCATCAGCAAATTCGTTCAGGGAAATGGAGTGAATTGTTTTAACACCACTCACCGTGAACGAATTTACTGATGATGTTCTCCACCTTTTTTTTTTTTAAATTTATACCCCTCTCAATTGCTTCTCTTTATCTTTCAAAATAAAACCATTACAAGTACTTTATTACATTAAATAGAATATAGTAATCCAACAGAAAAAAAGGAAGAAAACCCACTAAAATCCTTAATTAGGTAGCAACACAGGAAACGCATACCACAATTTGTTTTGTTCATATTTTCAATTTTAAATCAGTTTTACTTCTGACAGAAAAAACTAGATACAGCTGATGTTCTCTCATTTTTTTTTGTCCTCACAGTAATCCTTGTTTTTGTGTTGTGAAAGTTTGATTCTGTTTGTCATAGTTAATTGAACATACTTCTTTCACATAATATTATGTTTAAATGCTGTAAAGTGTAGGTAATGACCTATTTAGTAAGTGTCTGTTTCTCAGAGAGTTCTCTGTAGTGAATAACTTGTCTATTGAAAATTTATTTTCCCTTTGTTTTAGTATATTGCACTTTTGAGCATTTTGATTTTTCTGATGATGGAATACCAAGTAAATTCCGTAACGTAAGAATATGCTTCAAATTTCAAATAGTTTTATTTCAACCTGACCGACTCTCAAGAAATCCTTCACAAGTTCGGAAACAGTCAAGAGATCGCCTCCAAAAAACTCACACGTTTTGTTATAAAATTTAAAATGCCACTTTTAGCGGAATATAGGCACAGACGTAAAATATAAAAGTTATAAACAATAAATTCGACAAACATAAAACACAAATTAATACGTTATCAAAAACTTTAAAAAAATAATCAGTCAAAAAAGATAAGCTATTCGTATAAATGCTTATCACTATCATAATATTGCTTAGCATGTCCGTTTTTCATGTCATTGTTGTGCGTTTTGAGGGTTGGTACAAACTCAAAATCAAACTTTGATTTTATTGTCCCATTATTGACATTATAACTATTTTGCTTTTTGAGTGTAGTTTTGCATTCCCTCACAGGTACAGCAATGTAGGGATTGGACTCAGTAATATAGTGAGGCGAACTTGGCACCCTGTGTTTCTTCTTCTTTATTGTGTTAAAAACTAAATAAATGATAATAGGAGATAATCCCAAGATCAACCCTAGAAAGAATAGGCTTAGGTTTGATTTTGTACAGGAACAGTCGAAAGCCTGGACACCATAAGCATTTATTTCTGAAACAAGCAAAAAAAAAATTAAAATAAGTTTTTAGGAACAGTAACCATCAATGAGATAGGTGCCTACACGCCAATGCACAAGCAACTTGTTGATATTGTTTATTGTACATTTTTAACAAGGTTGTAAATGCATCAATTACCATTTACATAATATGCCTCCAAAAGAACAAATAATAATATGAGGATACCCACGCACCAAAATTGATAAATGGAATTATAGCACAGTAAATTATTTAAATAGAGCAAACATTATTATACACATACCATTTGTAAGGATATTGCCTACACACATTCTTGCTTGCACTGCGTTGCCTTGGCACATGTGAGGGCCTGGGTGATCCGTATAACAAGTCCTTTTTCTGTATTGAAGATCGTTTTCGTCGCATAGAGACCATTCTGTCCAGTTTCCCCAACCTAAGATATCTAAGAAAAAGATATTCCTATTAAAACAGGTAGGTAGGTGACACAATAACTTTTGCAAAAATAGACAGTGAAGATAAATAGCAGAATATGTCTGCAGTTGCCAATTTTAAATAGCCCATCGAAATGAGAATTGAAATATTTTTTTAAATGGGTTTGTTGCCTGAATATTATGTAGGTACCTACATGTGGACTTATTGCCGAACATTAGGTCAATGGACTATGGAAAGTATGGACTTGTTTAAAAAATTTCAACTTACTTTCACAAGACTGATCCTGACAAGCTTGCTTCTCTGTTTCTTCTCCCTTACAGGTTTGACCTAAACATTCTCTATATCGTGTTTTGACACCCCATCCGCAAGAAACATTGCATGGTGACCACTCGGTCCAACAACCCCAGCTATCTTCACATGCATGTTTATTGCAATCTTTTGTTTGAGTTCCTGGTCCTTGGCAATTGCCTCTGAAACAATACCGAGTTCTAGATTGAGTCCCTCCTCCACAGCTGGCAGAACATTCGCTCCAATTCGTCCAAGAGCTCCAGCCAGTATGATCAATATCGTCAGATTCACATTTATTTGAATGACAAATTTGACTTTCGTCTTTAACAAAAATCTTAATTTGTTGTGCGTGCTTAACAGGAGCTTTGCAAGTAATTTTAATTCTTTTCTGGTGATAATGGCGATTGGATATATTGTAATCAGTAACCCATTCAGTTGATTGCAATTGTTTATGTTCCTTGCACATATGTTCATTACATTTTTCGTATTCTATATCATTTCCTCTGCAGTGCTGACCCCCATTTCTGGGAGAAGGATTGTCACATCTTCTTTGGCGCGTTTTGAAACCTCCCCCACAATTAGATGAACAGAGGGACCAGGGTGACCACGCTGACCAACCACCGTCTGTTGGTTCGGTTGGGCAAGGTGGAATTTCTGCACAGAAAGCTTCAGTCCGATCTTGACCAACACAAACCCTAAAAAACATTTTTTATTCTCCAAAATCAAATTAGAAACATGAGCAATAATTTATTATTATTGATGGAAGTTGTAAAACATTAAGGTGAGGCTTCTTCATTTCAAAATTTTGCATTTAAAATCTAATTTCAGAATATGGGTGTCTACTAGACCTTTCGAATATTAGTTTGTATGCAACTACGCCTTATATTCCATATTCTAATATTATGCAAAGTACTTTATAAACAATAGGAATTTGAAAATCTCCATAAGGTATCTGATTTTTAAATTTAAGTTAAATCAGCTCGGGGCTTTTAAATAATTGACACATTAAATAGTCGAATACACCCAGTATCAAGGTCTTTAGGTATTAGAAGGTAATAAATAGATATATAAAAAATAAAAATAATTTTTAATCCTTGTCTTATAACAGTTATTATAATTGCCCAGAGAAGGAGTTTTCGAGCTACAATGATAAGAAAAACATTTCTCCTTGGTAATATGGTATGAACCACTTGCCATTTATTTTACTAAATTTAATTAGATGGTTAGATTTTATGAAAATTATGAATTTTTTTAAACTTTAAACTTTACACAGAAAAGTAAATAACCTCCACTGAACGCACTCACTTCGCGTAGAAGTAAAGCGAGTGAATGATATAGCAAGTACCTACCTATTAATATTGGAAAAGAGACCTATTAAGAGTGATGACCGCTAATGTTGCTGTGCTCGCACTTCAAAAGTGAAAGTTTGCAAATAGAATTCAGTTCTTACAGAAGCTTTATAATAATACCTCACAGGACAACATTATACAAATATTTTACTAAGTAATATGGGATTGAACCACTTTATCATATTAAGAGATAAAACTGATTATTGTAGGTATATACCCTTATTATATAGACTAGTTTTAAAGATTTTCTCAAACGAAAATAAACTAAAATTTTTTACTAGCTACCAAATAAATCGAATATTTTTCATGGTTTGAAAAAGTTATTACTGGCTTACCTTCCACCAAAAGCTGGTGCTGGATTGCTACAAGATCTGAATCTAGTTTTAACAGCAGTTCCACAAGTAGCGGAACATGATGACCAGGAAGACCATTCAGACCAGCCACCATGAACTGTGCAATTAGAAACTGCTACCAATGCGCCAGTACAAGAAAGACCTCCATTTGCTGGTGATGGATTATTGCATTGCCTTGTTTGACATAAACACTGATCATCATCTGTTTCGAAAGATATTCTATGGTAGCAAGGTTGCCAATCGGACCAAGAGCTCCAACCTATGCAGAAAAAAATGTCTTAGCTGTTTTCTGGTAGCTGAAGCTAACCTCCCAAACTTACCTCCATTTATTGGTGTATTCAGCACAGGGCATGAGTTCATAAGTTGCTTCCAATATTTATGATGTGGATCCCCATCAGGAGCTGTAGTGCATCTATCTTCCAATTCGTTCCATCCACAGTAAGGATCCATAGCATTAAGACAACTTTCCTTCGAAGAATGTCTTCGGCAGTGATCTACTGGTATAGTTATTAGTCCCTCCTCTGTGGTGACGTAAATAGAATTTGTTTCTTTCAAAAACTGCATATTTTTAATTGAATCCTTGGGATTAGAAATCACTTGCCAAACTTCCACTATGCAAGCTGTTTTTGATCTTGGCAAAACTGTTAGTTTCTTAATTAACCCATCTTCTGTTGCAATATAAATAACGTGAATGTGACGGTAATTTTTACTGGCGATCACATCAACAGTTATATGTGTGAATCTTTCAAGCTCGGTTGAATGTAATGGATCCAAAGTAGTAGCTTGAATAGCGCTATCCATTAGCTGGTACCTTGAAGTCTCCAGAAGATTGTTATGTCTGGGAAGTTTGCAATCTAAGTGATCTCTATTGGGTACTTCATGTCTTGTCCAAGCACTGTCCATGTCATTTTGAAACTTGAATGGCCCATTAAAAGCGTCATCTATAGCCGTCATATTGAAAGCACACATAGCACTGCCAGCAATGCTATTGGAAGGAGTTGTAAATGTTGCATAAACAATATTCTCTTCAGGAATATACTGAGCTCCCTGGATTTCATTGTAATAGAATGGATATTCTCCACTCATAGAACAGTTTAATCGAGCTTTAATGAAAGTAGTCCAATTGTCTTTCAACATGGTATTTCCTCCTTGATCATTTTTACATACACGTGCTATTCTTGAATATACAGCTTTTCCACAATTGATATATTCGACGGCCGTTTCTCTAAACAAAAAATAAGCAAAATCTGCGGTTTCAAATGAACCGACAAACTGGGGGTCATTTAACCAGAAACTATTGTATTGCTTAGTTCTTAATAACGGAGCACCATTAATGTTCTTTGAAATCAAGGAATCTGAGCTTGAGAAATCTGTAGTTCCACCGAAAAAGTACTCATATGTATTCGAAAGGAACCCAGTAACACTAGCCGCAGGATCATAGGGGCACTTAGCAACCCCATCAAGTATTTGGGTAACATTGGATAGATCGTCGATCTGAAAAGTATACATTTTTTAAAGGAATATTTAACAATTAAAATATAAATAGTAGAGATTATGGGTTTATAGGACAGGGATCGAAATTATTATTATATAAATTATTTCAATTTCTCAATCAATAATAATGTATGCCTTTTTTAAATTGAAATTATTATTTTATTCATGTTTTAAACTAGATCATGGTCGAAACTTCGGCAAAATATTTTGCAGTAGGTAGGTATGGGAGTTTTATTTCATGTCCTATATATCCCTAATCTATAAACAAAGAAGTATGATAGCTGAAGGCAAGTAAATAATGCTTCACAATTTTGGGAAATGTAGGCCCCAAATCATTTTGTTTCAAGGACATTCGTACCACAACAATTTCAAGTCGAAAATTAAAAATACTATATAACCCGGGGTTTCTCTATGTCCACAGGCGTAAGCTGTTTTTGTCAATAAAGAAATGAATGAGTCAGGGCCTATTATCTCGAGATTTCACTACATGTAGGTACTTACATTTCTCCAAGAACATAACGGAGAAAAGGCATTAGTGCCACATGTGAAAATTTGATGCCCGTTGGTCAGAAGAATTTTAATAAAATTATGACAGTTTTCCTCGTCTTGCCCTTTGTAAATGCAGGAGCGTCTTTTTTCCGGAGTTGCTTCCCATTTAACGGCTTCTAACAATTTTAGTTTGGATAAATGCAACCTGTATAGTGAGTCCCTAAAAGGAATAATAATTTTTTAGCGTCAGCTTATTTATAAGGTAGGTAATCAATTTAAATTTGCAGAAAGCTGTCGTAAATAACGAATTCAAGTTTGTTTTCGAGAGCTTTGAAATAGTATTTTTCCTTGTATGGCAATAAAATTGCATTAATATTAAATTTTATTACCGTGCTCCTATAAACATTTGATCCCTGGCCACATCAAATAACATTTGAGAATAAGAAGTAGCTCCTTCTAAAGCAAACTTATTCAATGATGGTTGTAAATCTATAAATAAATAAAGAGTTTTAAAATAAAAGCAGTTAAAAACGGTATAAAATTTTTCTTTTCAAATAAAATAATTGCAACGTTGACACAAGAGCAATGATATAAATAAAATGTGTCAATTCAGATAAACTTAAATAATTATTGTCCTTCGTCCTTTTAGTAATTATGATTTTTCAGTCCCTTAAGTAAAATATTCATAACGAACGCATAGGTACTTTAGAAATATTTCATAAATCTTTATGATTTTATGAGCATTTGTTTTTTTCATATTGCTTCCCATTGAAATAAAAATAGTTTAAGTTTTTTTCACGAAAAATGGCTTACAGTTGTTTGCAGACCCAAGCAGCTCAGCGGTTGTGTCTTCGCTTTGCATGCAGTGGGTCTCGGGTTCGAATCCCGGCTAGGTGCATGGATGTTTGTTTGTTTGATTTGGTTTGTGTGTGATGTTCGAGGCTTTGTCGACAAACCACAGTGGTGGTTTCTGACAAGAAAGCAGAAAAAAAAAAGCTAAAAATCCCCCTATAGCAGGTACATACTCGTGAAATGAAATTTGTCAGTCTTCATTTCTCGAGGGAAGTGTTCAGTTGTGTTACGATATCATTTTACTAAATATTATGCGTCCGTGAGGAAACATTGATCGCGCCGATTAATCAATTTTGATGAGAATAGCGGTAGCGAAACAGAATTATCTACATATAAAATGTCAATTTTGTTTATATTCTGTTTCGTCTCTACTGAAGTCGTTTGATGCTCTAGAAAATTGTTCTTTTTACAGAAAGATAGCTAACATGCTATTCTAAGAACTATCGTCGCCGGACTTTCAATTTTAGAAATAAAAAAACCTAATTTAAAAAAAAAAAAAGCAAAATGCAAAAAAATTATTTTTATTCATTCCTGATAAGTGGCGGATGCGCAGCAAAGGCAATGAAGCAATGACTACCGAGACTAAAGTTATAACTAAACCTTGATCGTACACCAGATACCTAGTCATTCCCTATAGAATCTTTGACTTACTAATCTTCTGTTTTGATGTGACAATTTTATTTACATTGACTGGCAGACATGCATATCAACTAGTTATAGAATATATAAACTAGAATAGAACTCTCTTACTAACAACAACAACGTAACAATATCATATATGAGTATTATTACTTGCTTTCCTTAGACCTGTTACATTTTATTTAGATTAGATAGGTTAATATCTAAAGTCCCACCCTTTACTGGGCCTTATCCCACACAATGAAATCAACGCAGGTAGTTTCAATGCAGTCAGTCAGAACCATTTCTCGTGAAAAGAAGCTTACGTATTCTTTGTATAGTACCTATATATTAAAAAGTTTGCGTAGGACGTCGTTGAAGTTACCAACAGATTCAGAAATGAAAATCATGTTTTTACAGTCGACCAACTAAATAGTGCCACAAATAAAATAAATTAAAAAAGCTATTCTAGGAGATTCTGTAGCATCATCAAAGTTAGTAGAAATATTATTGGGGGTGATATACGTCACATACTGAAAAATCACTTCTCCAGGGAGGGGTTGAAAGGGGTAGATTCCGCCCCATGAAATCAGATATAGAAGATTTTCTAGCATCACCAAAGTTGGTGGAAATATTGCTTGAGTAGATAGGAGTTGAGCAGATAGGAGTGACACATCAAAAAAGCAAATGTTTATCCCGGCATTGAAGGGGGTAAATTCAACACCAAAACTGTAAAAAAAACAAACTTCTTTGAAAAATTTTGTAGTACCTAGTTTTAAAGTTAGTGGAAATATTCTAGGAGCAGATACAAGTGACATATCAAAAAAACACATGTTTATCTCGGGGTTGAAGGCAGGAATTACAACCACGAAGTTGTAAAAAATCCGGTAAATTGATATCGTTGAAAATTTTTTTTTTGTTACTTTTGGGGTTGAATTTCTCCATTCCACCATTCACCCTTGCGGTGGACATGTGCTTTTTTGACATGTCATTCAAGCAACATTTCCACCAACAAAAAAAAGGTAGTTTTTTTACTATTTTTGGGGTTGAATTTCCCCCCTTCAACCGCGAGATAAATATGTGCTTTTTTTGATACGTCACTCGTATTTACCCAAGCAATATGTAGACCAACTTTGAAACCTACAAAATTTTTCAAAGAAGTTTGGTTTCTTTGACAGTTTTGGGGTTGAATTTCCCCCCTTCAACCCCGAGTCTTGAACATGTTCTTTTTTGACATGTCACTCGTATCTGCTCCTAGAATATTTCCACTAACTTTAAAACTGCTACAAAACGTTTTAAATAAGTTTGTTTTTTTTTTGACAGTTGTGGGGTTGAATCTCCCCCTTCAACCCCGAGAAATATATGTGCTTTTTTGATATGTCACTAGCATGTGCTCCTAGAATATTTCCACTTACTTTGAAACTGCGCTGCGCTAGAAAATTTTTCGAAGAAGATTTGCTTTTTTGACAGTTTTGGGGTCGAGTTTCCCCCTTCACTCTTATCTGCTCAAGCAATATTTTCACCAATTTTGGTGACGGTGACGCTACAAAATTTTCGATATTTGATTTCATTTACATATTTGGGGCGGAATCTACCCCCTTCAACCCATCCCTGGACAAGTGATTTTTCAGTATGTGACGTATCACTCCCAAATAATATTTCCACCAAGCTCGATGATGTTACAGAATCCTCTTTAATTTATTTTATTTGTGGCACTACTCAGTTGGTTGACTGTAAAAACATGATTTTCATTTTGAATCTGTTGCTAACTTGTACCTACTACTTTGAATTAAATTATTAATTAGATTACAAATATTTTTTTACAGAGTGAGTAGGTTGGTATACCTACATCTTTTTCAGGAAAACATCGGAAAGCCAACTGAGCTTGAAAAAACTAATAATGGTTTTTTCAAGGAAATGCTCAAAAGGAAACTAATTACAACTTCAACAAATGAAACAAATAATAGCAGAAATAAAACAAATAATAGCAGAAATAAAACTTACCTTTATGCGATATATACCGGAAGTCGTGCTTTGTTATGGCAGCAACAAAGCATAGAGAAGAAAAGACGAAAATACTGTATGTTATACTGCAAAATTTCATTGTTGCATTTTTCTGGAAAAAAGAAATATAAATCATAAGTATATGTATGTATGTAGTAAAACTTTTCAATCAATCGCATAACAAATTATTGTTTTCACTTAAAAATTTCATTATTTTCATGGTGGTATTTTTTAGATTAGGCACAGGGCAAACAAATTAGCTAAGTTTATGCAAATATTGATATCGACAACCATTTTGCAAAATTTATTACTTCCGAGCGTGCAATTTTAACAATCGTAAATTTGTTGAAATCCCAGGTGTTAAGGTACCTACATACTGAATCATGTAGGAGTTCAAATACGTGTTTCGCAAAGCACCATGCTTATTATTCGAATTTTGCAACTGAATGAGGAAATATGCATTAAAGATAATCATTGATAGATATCTACTTAAATTTAGTTACCTGAATATTTATATCTATTTCAAACCTCTTCTCTATAGGATTTCAAAGTCGTCATTGGGGTGATTAGGGCAGGCATAATACAGGGCAGGGCATTACAGGATGTTCATTGTTAGAGTAATATAGAGCTAAATATCTGGAAAATGGAAGAAGACGTAATGCCCTGGAATGCACTGGAGAATAATGATATAAGAATTTGGCAATGTTGCCAAAGTTTTAAATTTGGTAGGTAAAACTACTCGGTGATTTCATAAAACAATATGTACATTTCGTCACTATTAGATAACCGCATTTTTGTAAAATGTATACCTATGTATCTCAAATTTAAAAAAATATCTCAGAGGGTTATTATCTAAAACCAAGGAGCAGTCGCTAAACAAGAAAATCTGCACGTTTACAGTGATGGTATTTGATTATCAATTGACCTATACTATGTCGTAAATTCTTTGGGTGCAATGTGCAATAGTATTATACTTTTATGGAAATAAGTCAAATTTGACAGGTATCTGTCCAGAATCCTGTCGAATATTTTTTTTCGCTTACCGTCCAGCAACTGACCACGATAATTAATCCTGTCACAAGAATGATGAAATAGTATAAAGCCGATATTTAACGCAACTTGCAAAGGTATGCATAACATGCTTCCCTCCAGAGTAACGCGTATTTTTGGACAGCCTTATAAGATTAAATACAAAAAATAGTCAATGCGGGCTTTGAAATGATGACACATTGTATATACATAGATAACTACTTAGATTCGTGTCAGAAACCACGTTGAGGTCATTTATAATCAAGTTCAAATGATGAAAATGCTTTGCGGACCATAAGGAATTAGGATTTCGAATATCAGGATACTAAATATATGCCGTACTGGAGATAACAATGCATGCATTAGAGATGCAATAGGTGTAACTTTGAAGTGTTGAAGTACCTACCCGTTAGAAGCTGTAACCATTATTCAAAGATGACAACTTTATCTCGATGCGCTTCTTGTCAAATTTATTAGTAGGACAATAAACTTAGTTAACATATCATCTTTTTGGTTGCGCCAAGAAACGCGTTTCAAAACCTTCACTTCCTGCAGTGCTGCAGTCGAAAGCTCTCAATCATTTTGGAGTATATTTGTCTTTGAATAACCAGTGTTATTTTAAGTTAATAATTTAATAAGGGAAATAAACCGGTATTGGTAAACTGAACTAAGAAGAACATTTTTTATTACTAATAGATACAAAATTTTACAAACACTGGGAATTCGAAAACGAACTACCCTCAATACCTACCTCTTTGATGGATTATTATTTTAAAATTCATAGAGACTCGTCGATTTTTGTTCCGAGTAGTACGGGGCAATTTTATGAAAATAATTTTGTTGTTGGAAAAAACAAAAAACATGATATACGGCCACTGGAAGGAAAGCCAAGAACAAGTTCTAAGGGATTTGAAAATCTCTATGAATTTGAAAAGGGAGGTATTTGACATATGTATCATCTCTGTAATGGCTTATGCCATTAAAAGTTCAGCTAACATGCTAAGAGCCATATGAAGAATGATGCTGGGGATGAGTGTCATCAGGGATCATACCAGGAATGACAATATCAGATGAAGAACGAAGGATGATCATAACCCCAATAGCTAAATTGGGGGTTTGGCTGACACACCTATATTTTTAAAATCAGCAAACAAATTACCTTCTCGAATAAACCAGGCTCTTCTATTCTACAAAGCACAGCTCCGTACAACTTTGATATGGCTTTTTTATTTATTTTGACATCTGATGTGGACGATTCAGGAAAAATACTCTAACTTTCCTATTTATAATTTAAACTTTTGCTATTACTGCAATGAAGGAGGCATTCATTGGTTACTTTATAATCAATCACCATAACGCCTACCTATTGCCATGTTTAATTTTTAGTAGGTATAAACAATTATCTGAATGCATAAAATGAAACTGAAATAGCTTCAATAATTGTTTTGATAAAAAGTTAGCAGTAAAGGTGTGTAGTCGTCATTTTCAGATAAATCCCTTAACAAATTTAGGTTTACTGTTTTTTAACGATTTCAGGTTTATTGTTTTTGTGGAATTGGAAAACAAGACACGCTCCAGTAAGTTAATTCGACGATTACCTACACAAGAATCAAGCATAAGTTTTATTTGTTAATAAATCCTTATACCCACACACATAGGTCTCTAAGAATTTTTAAAATAATAATCTTATTTATAATCTTATTGCCTTTTATATTACCATCAATGTAGAATAAGTATGCTATAATTATTTGCACACATCATTATGGGACCAATATTTGTAAATTCTCAGAAACTCTGATCTATTACGATGGGTACCACCTTAGTAAAAAATGTCAACCAAAACAATGAGTCCAGTTTTTATGCCATTCCAGCGTCAAACAGATTTATTAACATTATACTTATATGCTGAAGATTTGCATATTTTTAAATAAAATTTGATCATTATTTTGAACAATACCATAGAAAAAAGTTCAAGGATCCCAGGATCCATTGCAAAACGTGCCGAGGTTGTTTATCCGCGCGGTAATAAAATGTATTGACCGGAAACCCAGTACATAAACACTTTTTTTTGCAATTGTTAATTAAACCGTGGTTTTATGGCTTTTTTCGGTTTAATCTATCACGCAAATATGGCAAGGTAAGTTTAAGTTTTTTTTTTTGGCAAAAGAGTTTTATGGGACGCTGCTTTCCTTTTATGGAAAATGTTGGATCATAATCACATCCAGTGTATTAAGCCCTGGAAGTTATCTACGTAAAAATTCACCTATCATTTCATATATTTTATTATAGTCTAAGAGCCAGTGACATATTTTTTAGTGATGATTTAGTTAAGGCCTATTTTTTAAGAGGGTGCGTTGAGGGGAAGCCTAACTAAGTGCCATCCTTCAGGTTTGTCCTCTGAGCCCACAATCATCGATCTAAAATTGGCAGAACGATTGGCCGGTCTTAAGAGGGTATGGCAGAACTACCCAACATGTGCGAATACTTCAAATTGAAAACAATAATGTTCGTTCATTCATTTGAAAATATTTAGTATCCATGGCTCTTCATGTACCTTTGGAACTGATATTTTATCATTCATTCACTGGAAATGCAATTTAAAAATTACAAAGAAAAAATATTCGATAATAACAGTGCAACTATGTACAGTGTGATTTTTTTAAGTGTGCAACATATGGGGATTTTTTTTAGTAATAGCACAACCCAAATACAAACAAGGCCAAAAGTTGGTGCATGTCTGATAATCATATTAGGTGCACTTAGAATGGTTGCAAATCAAACAGCATACAGGGTAGCTCAAAAAATATCAAAATTGTAGTAATATTTACTTAAATAAAATAAAACTTGTGCACTCTAGGGAGAGTTTTTTTGATATGGCTATTATCATTAGAAATGTTTTAACCTGTTAAAAGAAAAAATTGCGACATTTCAAAGTTGTGTTGAATATCATTGCAACAAACATGAATTTTGTGATTCCATAAAAAATTAAAAATCTAAGTCAATTTTACAAATATGCTTGAATATGAACAAAGTTATGTTAAACTGATTTGATTTTAATTAATTTTTGAAAGTATTAAGGGCGGAAATAAAAAATAAAAAATATATAGAAATTATAGATTTTTTTCGAAAGAAAATAAAAAAAATCTTAGGAGGGTATGTTTTGGTATTTAGGCATAACTTTTAATTCCAAACAACTTTTCTTTATAACATTTTGCTGATTTTTTTAAAATAAGGGTGCTTTACAGTACAGCTTTGATATTGTTTGAGCTACCCTGTATGCTGTTTGACTTCCAACGATTCTAAGTGCACCCAATATGATTATCAGACAAATCCCCATATGTTGCACACTTAAAAAATCACACTGTATGAATACGAGTATAATTAGTTTTTATGAAAAAATTTAATTCTCTACAAAAAAGGTCTCTTGATATTTTTTCGTTTCTTCCCTAGGCTCTGCCAGATACGTCAAAATAAAAAATATGTATTTGCCAATATTTCTTACATTCAAACGCAAATATCTTTTGAACTATGCTAGATACATACGAGAATTGATTTTCTAATAAAAAAAATACAGATATTAATATTTTTTCGTATCTCACTTAATTTTGAAGATGAAGTGACAAAAAAAAATCCATAAAAATCACAATTCAAGGTTTCTTTAGCACGCGATCACTTCGACTTTGCCTGAAATATATTTTATCTATTAAATAGATATTATTCTGATAATACAATTATTATGATAATTTGTGGTTCTCACTCGATACCCACTGATTATATTTTTCTGAGATCCCAGAAGAAAATTTTTTTTTTGTGCTTTATCTCTCTCTCTATGTATATGAGTCGTATTCTTATATTTTGCGTTTGAATGTAAAAAATATTGGTAATTTTTCCTTTTTTCACACTATCGCAGAGACAAAAAAATGTTTAGAGAATCAGATGTCCAGGGTAATTGGTTATAGATGTCACCCAATCTACCTTTTTTATTTGACATTTTGGAGAAAAGTGTCCCGAATAAAAGTTTTATGTTTGAAATTGATTTTTTTTCAAAACTCACTTTCGCATTTGCGTGGTGTTTGGGTGTTT